GGAAAATTCTACTCGTCGGACCAATGTGTGATGAAATGGTAACCTATAGGTTCCCGACCTATAAGCGCAATATTTTATCGTTAGTCGGGACGCAACTGATGAAACTGTAGACATCGTCGTCCTGCTTCGAAGTTTTCTGATCGTAAACTGTCCCCGTTTTCCTTGTCGGAGACTGACCACGACACGCAGAGGTAAGATATATTCACTGTGCCCACATGGGGAACTGTCAAGAGTGTCTCACAGGCTTCGGAGGGTCCGGAAGCAGACATGTGAATCGACACGGTATTTTTCAATGGAATGATTGACTCTCGATCACAGCGCAGGAAACTCGTGACGATGGGAAGGTTGCGCTCGCCAGATGCTTCCGCGCGGACGGGATGGCAATGATCATCATAGTGATTCTGAAAACTGTCTGATCCCTCTACATTAACCGTAGCACTCCAACTTCTGTTTTAGATTTTCGACCTCCGCGGCGTGAGGTTGACGCCTTCTGGATGCTCAGGAATGCCCCGCGCTTCTTGACCATTTCGTCTCCTGTGGCTTTGCTTTCCGCTCTGATGTGGGGCTCCTATACCCTCGTCTGCTCGGTTCGATTATTCGCGTGTACATTGGGAAATGAACCCAAGTTCGTAATCGTGTCCTAGGGAGAATTCCCTCAGGACTTGTTCAATTCGACATCCCTCCCTTAGTTTGCTATTTCCATCGGATTAGAAGTGGAGCCGTCTGGAAAAATCTAGAATCAAGGTGAGGATATACAACCGGACCGAAATGAACAGATGAGAGAAACGCGTCTCTGTGTTAAATTCATCCGGGAATATTTCGAGTCCTCCAGGAAATGTCTCTCCCTCTGAGTTGCCCAACTAACAGACGGAGCCCACCAGGGAAATCGCGTCTTCCTCTAGGCCTCTAATTACGCATGAGGTGCAGTTTGCGTCTCAAGTTAGCGTCGTTTGAAAGAATTGGTTCCTCAAAGCAGAGGAGACAGTTCACTCAACCGAGAATAACAGGATCCCGCGTCGGTGCCTTAGGTCCAGACATACGGGGGGGGGGTGAATATCGAGTGGGATTTGTGCGCACACACGAACAAACCTGATACAGACGACCTTGGATCAACTCCAGGAAGTCGTGCGATTATCTCGGGGGAAATATTCTGCTGGGCAATGGATTTTCAACAGGGAACAAAGAATTTCTCGGTCCGAATCATTAAGGGTTCCTCACACTGCTTAGAGCGTGCATTTAGAATCGAGCCGCCTTCCGGGAGAAGGAAGGAAACAGGGGGATTATTGGGGGTTTGTTAGAACCGGTTTGCGGCCGAGAGGATCTGGTTCTGGAAACTGCTCCGGAGATCGATTTCTGTTCCCGATTTGGGAAGGGCTCTTCCCTCGCATTTTCCAGCCGGATTCACGAAGATTGAAAGATGCATAGTGGACACCCTCTGTCTTGTGCGCGGATTGCGCAAAGATTTATCGTGCGCAGAGAGACTTCATATCGGACGGAGCTACAGGCGGACCCGCTTATAAGAGATACGCATATAAGAGACTTGCACTCATAAGAGACAGATTCTATTCCCCGGTTTCCGAGCCCATAGACACCCATGTTAAAAAAATCGCATATAGGAGATTTGAAAACTCGCTTATAACAGAAACTCGCTCATAAGAGACTCGTCACGATTCCCCTTCTCATAGGATTCCATGTTGAAGGATTCGCTTCAAAGAGACAGGTCGGAACATTTTCACTACGAAACGATTTTTTCCCGATTCCGACTGCTTGTTAGGCCTTCTACACGCGCCTTAGGCTAACGTATGCGGACCCGTGAAGAAAGGTTCATCATTTCCAACCATTTCATCCGCGATTGGGTGTTCCCGCGCATAAAAGAAACTCGCATATAAGAGACCTTTTACGGTCCCCCGAGGTGTCTCCTATAAGCGGGTCCGACTGTATCTCGAAATGGGCCAGCACTCATCAAAAATCTTGATTGATGGCGTCAGAGGTCTCTGATCTCGGGCCGAAGAAACTCGATCCATATGACGAGAACGGAGGCACATATTTGGGCAAGTGCGTCGTCGTTTGGTCATTCGATCGCGGAGCGAGATGGACGGATGTGTCTGCTGCAGCGTGTTAAGTGTACAAAAGAGTACCAGAGATCGCAGGAGTTCTGGACTACATCAAGAGTCTTGCTCAACCATCAGGGCTCGCTTTGCAGTTAAGGAGCGGAAAACTGATTCTCATAGATTATCAACATGATGAGCCTGCAACCGCTATGAAGAAGTTCTCACCATGATCATCTCTAACCGTTCTCGGCGCGCTGCTTTCCTCTGGAAAACTCCATTCGGTATATACCACCTACAAAAGCGTTCGTATCGTTTGTCCTCCAGCTCCGTGCCCTGGAAGCGAAAGGATCCTCCTCTGAAAGGACATGTCTCCACGGTCCTTCCGACAGGGACAGAATTTCCTCAGGTCCTCCGGATAGCTTTCATGAGATAACCGAATCCTGGAATTTATGATTCCCCACCCTCAAGTGTCTTTTTTCGGCGCCGGATACTCATCCTAGAGGTGGCAGCCAACTAGTTCACAATTGAGATCCCCGGAGACCGAGGAAATGCGACGTAACGCACCATCATCTATGACGCAGCACGAAGGTGAGAAGGAGAGAATGTCTATGGACGCTGCTCGCTGAGCTCGGAGTCTTGTCAGGAAACCTCCCTAACCCCCTCGAGCCTGGAAACAACAACCATTCCTCCATACTGCGACCCCAAGGCGGATACCTGAGACTGCCCGCCTGGACTTCTTGAAGGAACCATTCTGCGGTTCTGACTCCGGATCATCCTTCGCGGGGGCCGTCCAATCGACCTCGGGGACTCCTGTCCGACTGACGAGTCAGGGACCGAGTATCATGTTCGCCAAGAATCGCTTTTGACCCGGTTCCGGACGGCGCGGCTGGAAAGACGGAAAACGGCATGCCCAACTGGAACGGAGGACAACAGTTGGCTAGTGTGGCAGCTTCCTTCGTGGCTTTCGTCTATTCTTATCCCTTGTTACTTCTATATTTCGGAATCATCGAGTCATTCAGAGAAAGAATGAGACTCCGATGAATGAGAAGTAGCAACGACGAATTCCAGAAGAGCTCAGATAGGATGGAAGCTGGAGCGGAAACTTCAGGGAGTCTGGAAGATTTCTTTCATTGGTCCCTTAGCCTCGACAAAATATCGAAAGTGGCGTTCCATAGCGCTGAGCTAGGGCCACTTAAGAAGGTTCGCCTCGCGCGTCCTCATCTCGTTTTCAAAACAGAAAACTTCCCCTCGTAGCCCCTTGACACCATGCCATCGTAGCCCGTTTCCCGCAGTAGAGTTGGATGAGAGATCCGCTTCCAGAAAATCAGGCGCAAGTTCACACAAATTACCCTCCAGTCCCAGAAACTCGCGAGAATTAGCTACGTCTATATGGACTCCGTGAAGCTCGATGTTGAGTTGACGAGAATATTGAGATCCTCACCTGTATGAGCGGAAACTCGATTCGGAAATGGAGAAATTCTCAAAGCTGCTCGATTTCAACTTCTCCAATCGTCGGCGACGATCGGTTCGGCGGCTCGTCTTTTCGGTCCACCGTTTCTGGGAATGATCGGAAAACATCCTACATATCTTGAGTTCTGCTCATCACGTGTGATACACGTGTTAGGCCGCGACAAGAAGCATAGAAGAGCGCCGTATATTCAGAAACGAGAAGCATAGCGCCGAGCAGATGCATCAATCGGCGATGTGGGCCATTGGGTTCACATGGAAATTACGAAGTCGTGGTCGTCGCTGACGCCACGGCCGCTGCTGTTAATGGGTTCCGTGGATAATTGACGTTGTTCCAGAGACGTGGTTCCAAGGGAGGCTCGATCCAACTCTTCCACTGCCGCCATGGGATTCAAAGCGCACCCAACGAATCTGAGGCGAGCTTTGCGCGATACTGCGCTGGAGAGCCCCTAAATTCTAATACTTCCATCCATTTCCCCGTATTCGGCCTCGGCAGTTGCACGGAGGAAGCCTCAAGTCCATATTCGGAATGCTCGTCTTGTTCGGAAGTTGAGCAGAAATCTCCAGGTCCAGGATTACGGGGACGTATTTCCCGAAGCAACGAGGAATTCGCTCTTCTAATCCTGACGGCATATCGAATGTACGGGACTAATTTCTGTGCTATTTTCGACGGCCCTGATGTACGATTTGAATACCTCGTTAATGGCTATCGAACGGTTGAAGCCGTTCGTTGTGAGCGTGCTTATGGCAATTCTGAGCCGATCTGGATATCGTAAGCAGACAGACGAAAGACGAGCTATCTTAAATCCATTCGTGGTATCGTGATGAATAGAGTGGCGCACGGTACTCCTCTCGGATAGGCGATCTAGAGCCCCGATTTCGACTCTTGAACGTTTTTCCGAGCTCAGGTCCTGCTAGATCCGTGCAAATGGGATCAGAGTTTGAAAGCAGGAACCCTCAGTCAGATAGATCCGTCCAAACTTTATTGATCCATAACAGTTTTCCCGGCGTATTCCGAAAGGAAGTAACAGTCATCCCGAGACTTGTCTCGAGATAATACGTATTTACAGTGTGGTCATGGCAACACACGCGTGGTCCTGGAATTCCGCGTTCAGGACTTCTCCACTCCTTGCTAAGCTGCTTTACAGGGCTCTTTTTGACTAGATGGCACTCATCGCTGATCGACCTAAGCATGAATTGGGACGAGACGCGAAGAAGTTCGCCTGGATCGATGAATTACAGGCCTCGATTTCGGACAACAGATTTTATACAGATGAGATAGTCTCGGAGAGTTTCTGATCCGTCGATCAGATGAACGGTGTCGGAACGATGGGATTTCCGGAGCTACTTTTTTACTTTTAAATCGGAGATTCATTGTCCAGACTCGGCTCTCATGATTCGGTACACGGACGTGATTCGGAGGAATCATCCGACTCGGATGGGCGACTCCCGTGGTGAGACGAGTAGACTCTACCTTGAATATTATTGTGGCCACTTCGACGGCATGAAATTCAGTTTTTTCTGCCGACCCGATTGCCGTGCTGGAGGCCTGACCTGCCGGAACTTGCAAAAAGTCGCACCACCCTCGGACACCTGCGAGAAAAACCGCTGCTGCCTTAGCAAGAGAACGCGTTCCAGATAAATTCTTCACACTCCAGATAACACGGGAGATTAGAGATTACCTGCTTCGTCTTGACGAGAATCCCGCTTGTCGCTGATTGATTTGAAAACTCCGAGTACTGATTGAATCGTGCGGTCACCGCCGGTATACTGGGCTTATCCAAGATGTTCGAGGGATGATAGAGGACCGGAGCCATATTCGATTCCGAGGACGGTATGAGCAATGGATACATCGGGACCGGTCTGGCCAATGATGACGCGAAGCTAGACTGAGGGCAGGAATTCACGAGATCGGTCAATCATTCACTCGGAAGAGATTAGCTCATCGCGGCCAAGAGATCGATCAACACACCTCCAGACACGATATCCTCAATTGTTCCTCCGAAGCTTCTTCATCACGTCTCAAGGACAGGTCGAGCGGTTGCTCGTCCCCCTTCCGCTGCTCTTTCAACGAAATCTTTATATTTAGTAATCGACGGACGTCATCTGATTTGCGTTTTCTCGACATGGAATGTTGGATCGGACTCGACGTTGCCGGTATCGGTGTTATCGTGACCTCAGGTGTCAGATGGGTGACGGGGGGCGGCGGCCGAAGGAGCGCTTGTAGATGATGAGGCAACGGACTCTGCGACGGCACTATGCTGCCGACAGGGACTGGAGAGTCATGCGCCGGATTGTGCGTGGAGAGCCACGGCGTCGAGGTGACGGTGATTTTTTTGGTGCCATGCTGCTCTTGAAGCCTAGTGCTCTCGCTCGCGGCATCGGATGGCACGAAATTATGGAACTTGAGGCACCTACTTCGGATGGAGGAGGTCTTCCCACCTCCGCGCATGACAATGATTATCGAGAGAGACGGCGAACCTGGAGAATTGAATTCGTTGAATATTCTTGGAGTTTGCACCGCAGCCCGTCGTACCTCTGAATGGTGTCTTCGACTGATTCCCCCAAGTGCAGCCCGAGCCTCCGAGGTGGGACAAGCTCTCAAATGACCTGTCGCTGCTGTGTCGCTCCCGAGTAAAAAATCGAAATCCATCGAATCGATTCCCCAATCTTCGCGGGAAATCTCACTCTTGATACCACGAAATACCGGGGCCTACGTCTCTGTCATCATTCCGGGTCTAGAATGATGTTGAGGCGGCGGGCGCGGCGGCGGTCTGGCCGAGTGTTTCAAAGCCTTGTCCATAAAAGGCGAATCGTATCGTGATCTCCGCAAGGCACGCAACCTGCTCAAATGTGAGACTCTCCGTGTAAGGTGCTCGCAGAGCTGCAATAGTCTCATAGAAGGCCTCCTAAGCCAGCGCCCTCGACTAGTTCTCGATCGGCAGTTCTTCCGGGCAGCCGGTTGGCCCGCCGGCCGGCTGGCGCGCTCGCTGGCTCACAGCCGTTCGTAGCAGCATCCGTGGCTTTCTCTTCTTTAGTCAGTCACCTAAACGGCGCAGCAGCTATTCCTCTTTTGGGAAGCTTCAACCGACCGCCGTCAGTGCTCACTTTCACTCCCCGGCCTCCTTCGCCCAGCCCGCAAGCACCGTGTAATAACAGCAGCTGCCTCATGATGGTCTCATGAAAAAATCATCGATCATCCTCTGCGACGCTATGCACGTAGGTCGTTGGTGACCTCGCAGATGAACCTGCATTTGATTGCATTCTGAGGATTGCCAGCCACGAGACAGCCAGTGACTGCGGCCTAAGAGGATCCGAGATATCAACGAGCTTGGCTCATTGGAGCAATCTGGGTCGGAACAATCGGAAATCATGTACATATCGATATTTGTAAGCAGAATATCGAAGGCATCGGATACTTCGCACTATTCGGGGGTCTTTCGCCAGAGATGCTTGATTTCACAGCGTCTCACGCGGATTCCCGGAAGAAACTTTCCCGCGAAGGGAGCGGATATCTCGATGATTGTGAATATATGTGGCAATATATAATACGTTCCGATTAGTGTCTCGGAGAGAGAGGTCCGAGGAAAGTTTGAATTCCAGAGAGAAAGACCCTCTATGACAATCATTCAGCCCATGCAATCAAAAGGGGGCACCCACGGTCCTTCGAGGGGATTCGCGATGATCTTGTTCTGCAATGAAGTTGCACTCCAGACACAGCGGAGGCCCCGAACCAGTCTGCAGACGGAGCAGCCTCGGATGCGGTCAAGCCAACTGACCACTTTTACGAATGTGCTCGATACGAAGCACCGCCTCTATCGAAACCTCGGGGTGAAAAATTTCAAGCACGATCGAAAGGGGACACTGTCCAGGACTTCGATTTCGTTTGGATCGGCAGAAACTACACCAGGCGCTCTTCCCAGGGTCGAATTCTTACCGACGGAACTTGGGGCACCTAATTGATCGGAGTGGGCAGCATTGATCGACGACACAGGGGGGTCAGGATCCGAAGATCCAAAAATTTTCACAGTCACGGAGATCGCTTTAGTCCCGAGGAGCTGGAAGCTAGATATCAACATCGCTCACCTTCGCCTATCGGCAATTCTTTCGACGGGTCCGCTCGCCAGAACCACTCATTGTGACACTCTGATGAAGCTCTGAGGCTGCTCCAATCGAGCTCTTCAGAATTCAGATGACAAGCACTGGATACAGGGAATCCTCCAGAACATTGGCAACATCCTCCAACGAATTCCGAGTTGTTGGATAAAAAGCAGCAGATGCGGTCAGTAGAGTTGCGCAATGAAGCCGCCTCAAACCACTTATCGAATACACAGAGCAGACCTACAGGGCGGCACCAGAGCCCTCTCAGCGGCCTTGTGGGCATCGGGTCCGACCTCCAATGAGAGAAAGAATGAGATTTCCCATCTCCACTGCCAGCTTCAGAACAGCCAACTAGGGAAACTAGAGCGGGCAGGCTCTCGAGAAAGGCTGTTGACCGCCAAAGCTACGCAATGTTTTGCCTATTACGGTTTTTCCAGACGCGCTGAGCGTTGCTGCGCACTCCGTGCTTTTGCCCATCCGCGGATCATTCTTGTCATGTCTTAGGATTAGGCTATTTCTCCTTCTCATGCAATGGGTGCAGTGACGCAAAATCGCTCGCTGCTTTGACTGAAAACAGAAATTCTCGTGCCTCCGGGGCGGCACCAGAGCCCTCCCAGCAACCCCCTCGGGAGACTGCTTCTTAATTGAGTCATCAGGAGACGGCATTCGGGATTTCACGATCTTTACTCAGTTCACGAGCCCGATACTAGGTACAGATGATCCCGAAATTCGCTATCCTTCTGATCTTTCATGTATCTTCTTTCCGCCTGGATTTGAATAAACGTCGTGGCGCCGGCGTTGGTACTTCGCCGAAAACATGTTCGAAAAGCTCGCGATCCAAAATTCCGTTTCCAGTGTACACAAGCATTTTCTCCTTGGGGTCGGAATATCTAACCAGAGCCACGAGGGGGAACTGGGTCTTCAATCCTGCAAGCGAGATATGGTGTTGTCTCGTAGAAGAACTCAACGAGGAGAAGAGAAATCTCTTAGTGGTGAATCAGAACTTCATCCCCCGTCACTGACCGGTATCGGCGACATGCATGATATCCTGAACATCGTACATCGTGTCGACTCTGCGCCCTAAAAAGGTTAGGCTCGCCACGCGGAGTTTCTCCCTGGATTCATTGAGGTATAGAACGCCTACAGCCTTCTGTGCCATCTGTCCGACGAACACTGTCATGACCAAGATGTAGAACTCGATAGCGAGTATCATCATCGTCTCATCTGAAAAAAGTTATCACGGGGCGCTATGAGACGTGTCTCGCTCCCTCACGCTGAAAAACTCGATTCGTTGCGATACTCACTTCCTCCTAATCCCATGTAAGGGAGGGCCGGTACTGACGCTACGCAGCAAGCAGCTTGGAACATTTTCAAACGAGTTGCGAGGCGAAGCTGTCGGATGTATCTGAATCGATAAATCGGAGTCCAAGTCTCCTTATCCAGCGGATGTTCTGCTTCCTCCGTCTCTCCTCCCTTTCCTGTTTTGTGCGTCTCCACGACTTCGTCTCTCACATCCTTCGCGGACCATTCTGCTTTCCTTTGGACTTCTGTGCACATTCCTCGCGTTCGATCATATCGCTGGAATGGGCGAATCAATGCACTCGTTAATCAAGTATTCGCTGGGATTCCACTAAGCTCTCTTATGTTATAGTTCAAAAACAGGTCTGTCTATGGTGACGGATGACGAGACTCCGAGAGACATCGAGTTGCTCGTGCTCACCACCAGATTCACGGAGGACACGGAAATGAGATGACGTTGAATGTTTGGGATGGATGGAGCTCCGAACGTTCCCCTCCGCGCGAGGTTGATCGCGAGAGCACGATAGATGAGCATGGCGACGGTTCTCGGACTGCGGGGTCCCCTCGGATCTGGTTGGTAGCTGTGGGCGAATGAAATATGTCCTCCACCCTCTGCACAATAATGGATCGCAATCATGTGTCTATGGTCGAATTCTCCGGTATGTACCTTCAATCGCGGTCGAGATCCGTCACGGTCACAGGGTTACCCTCATGAGACTCCGGAGAGGCATACGAGTGGTGGAGTCAGAAGCTCATGTAAACCAGTCGGAAGTGACTACATGAATCTCAGCCACTAGACAGATCGGAGATTTCTCCAAAAGTCTTTTTTCTGAATGCCCTCGGGTACGATCTTCGACTTTCGAACACTCGTCAGACCACCGGGAGCACACGGTGCTTCGAGAGAGGGGAGCGTCATTTCGAATTATGGCGGGAAACTCGGCTCTCACACCCGACGATGAGGGATGCGTGATGTCGCTCCGTGGCTCCGGAGAGGGCTCAGCTCGGAAATCTTGCCGAGAAGCGGCGTCTCCCGAATGAGAGCTTCGGTCAGAACGTCGACGTAAGGGAGCGCTTCTACTCCGGCGACTTGGATGGAATAGTGAACTCCCGGGGGTTAAGATTCGCAAGTTTGATGGACACAGTGCAAGACTTCCTTCCCTCAAGATACGGTTAAGGTCGCGCCCGGAGGTTCGGATCGGCCGGGTCGGCGATTCATGGGAAAGCTCTTCCATGGGTACAAAGCACTTCTCGAAGGCTGCGCGACACAACTGACATGCAGAAGTCCGCGTCGTTGCAGGGACTTCCAAGATTCCATTTCCCCAGCTCAGACAGGATGTGACTAGGGCTCTGAAATTGAGATCGGAATGGCACCGCTTGCCCGGACGGGCAACTGCTCCCGCACTTCTTCCCCCGACTCGAGAACTAAGGACGGGAGAGACTCGAGATGGGATGGCAGAAGACTCTAATGGTGAGAGTCTAATCTGATGCTCGAGGCCGGAAGTCGGGACGGAATCCTTCAAGCTTTGCGGGTGCAATTTCCGAAATTTCGTTCCTCATCACGACCGCCTCTATTCTCGACTTATACCCGCGTACCCAGCATGTAAGGCATGGGGGTATGAATATGAGCCTCTTGCGGAGACCATCAGCAAGCTCTCGGTCCGGACGAGTTTCTATCTCAATTACCGTACGGCTCCGGTTTGACGGGGAGACCCTCAGGCCCTCAGGGGAGGGATTTTATGCTTTCGCAAGTGGGCTGGCATCTAGGGAGGTATCGTTTCCGACGTGGACTCGGCAAATCGACCGATTCCGAGCGCATAGCGATCTTTCTCAGTGCAGAGATGAACGTACAGTACATCGACTGTCCGTGAAGAACGAAAGATCCCACGCGTTGATGTTCCCCGCCAATGATGTCTATCAAGTGATTGTAGCCACAAAAATTAGAGATCGTTATCTGTGCCCAAGGGTAAGACAATCATTCCACGGCAGTTCTTGACGGGACCTAGTGGCAAGACTTCTTTATGATGTTTCGCGGACGGTGACTACAGACGCTGCCGAGTATCCTCGATACCCTCGATTGCCGTCTCGAGACTTTGACGAAGTGTCGCTGCGTCCCACATATCGTGCTAGTATGGACGATGACGTCGATGTGATCCGGATTATCGGTCGTTTCGGGATCTACCATGGTAAGTAGACACAAATCGAATCTTTATCGTCTCCCCGGTGATTCCTCATCTTCGCCCCCATGTGAATTTCCTCCTCTGAAGACTGAGAGAGCAGAGGATGGATTTGGTCTTTACTCTCGATACGATTTCCTCCTACGATTCGCCTCCGACAGTATCGATTGAAACTTTCAAGGCATCGTCATCCTACTCGCCTGCACCCGTGCATACCCAATGGCGTGGACAAACATGATGTCCCCGCTCATGGCCGCTGATGTCCCCCATTGGTGTGCCCCACCTAATGAAACGATAGCTGCCACTTGGTGGAAAGACCACGGCATCCCGAGAGACCACAGAGGTACACCTGAAGGATGCCGGATGTATCGATGGAGCAGCGAATCGGGCCTCGACGAGAACGAAACGATTCCGTGTACTCATGGTTGGTCATACAACAAGGAAGACTACGGAGAAACCGCAACGTCCGAATGGAATTTGGTCTGCGGAGACTCGTGGAAAAAATCCGCCATGCAAACGGCTGTGATGGCCGGCTCCTTCCTCGGAGTAATTGTCTTTGCGAAGATTTCGGATCGCTTCGGCCGTAAACGAGCGTTCGTCGCCGGCATCTGCGTTCTCCTCACATTCGGCATCTCAGCAACGTTCGTCCAGAGCTTCCTCTTTTTCAACATCTTCAGATTCATCATGTCAGCTTCTGTATCGGGGATCACAGTGGCGGTCACCACACTGTTCATGGAAATCATGCCGGAGAAAGATCGAATCTACATGAACGTGGGTTTCGGTATCGGCTACGCCATCCCACTGATGTTCATTCCTCTGCTATCGCATTTTCTGCGAGATTTCCGCCACATGCAATTAGCGATAGGATTATCGGGGTTTTTCTTGGTTCCGTATCTCTTCGTGTTGGAGGAATCTCCGAAATGGCTCCTGGCGAAGCATCGCCTCCCGCAAGCCGAGCGTAGCATAGTTCGCATTCTAAAACGGAACAGACGACCTATCCCAAACATGAGAGATGTTATGGCCAAATTAGCGGTACACGCAGAAAGCGAAAACGCCAAGAAAAGTTCAAATTTAGGTTACGCGGATATGTTTAGAATTCCGATTCTGAGACGCAACATCCTCTACTTGGGGGCTTTATGGTTTTCGGGCTCTTTCATGAGCTACTACATGGCGCTGAACGCGCACAGGCTACCGGGAAACGCACATCTCAACTTCGCCATCTCGACCTTCGCGGAATTCCCCTCGGCTTTTGTGGGCATGTATCTCCTACGGAAATGTCGTCGACGGCAGACGCAAATGTACAACCTGATCTTGGCCGCCATACTTTTCGGAGGAGTGTATTTCTTGGATGATTCCTATCGGTGGTCGAAAATTTATGGTAGTACGATTGTCCGATTCTTCATATTCACGCACAGCTTCGTCAAGTGGACCAATGTTCACGAGATCAACCCGACACCTGCCCGGAGTGTCGGTTTTGCAATCGTGATGATGTGCTCAAGAATGGCTGGGATGCTGGCGCCTTTCCTGAAAGATTTCGGAGACTGGACCCATCATTCGACCGTGTACATAATTTTCATGGTTCTCACCGCAGTCAGTGTGTTCTGCGTGACGAAGCTGCCTGAGACTCTCGATAAAAAACTACCGGACACGATCGATGATGTCGAGCAGCTACTCAAGGATACGCACCGCATAGGACTCAAAATTCCCCTGTCAAGTCATTAGCCTGAAGGGAAATCTAGTGCGTGCTAGATTTCGACGTTTAGCCTTCTCTATCAATTCAGCAACATTCGCCCTCAGAATCCATCGAAGCTGGCGGGAGCGAACGGCAGAATTTGGCCTCAGGCGATTCTTGTAATCCATTGTATAGAGGAGATTCGAAAAGTCAGATTCAGAAATCAGGTAGTGAGCAATAAACCGATCTGTGAAAAGCTTTGCTCAGTCTCAAGATTCCTGTTCCCACTATGGCTCAGCATTCCGGGAAATTTATTCTTTGGGTCCTCTTCATCGGAGCGGGGGCTGCCTCGGCCTTCATAGTCCCGACGAGCATGTTCCCCGCTCCGGGTCGGTAGCGTTCGTCAATAATTCAATTCATCTTCGTCGATTGTTGGTCGGAGCTTTCCTCTCGCCTTCACGACTCGCCAGCTATTGGTGACCACATCAGAGGAGCATCAGGATTCCCTTCCGAAATCAACCTCATTGTCCCGCAAATCCTCTTCTGCTGGATTCTACTTTCGCAGGATGCCTCTTGCTTGAGGATTATCCTTATCTTCCCGACCCGTTCTTTCAAGCCAAAGATATCTCCGGCATGCTGCTTGCGTGGCGTCAGCGCCGGTTTCCCAGTCTTCTTGATTTCCCGTGCTCCCCGCCCTCTGGTTCTCTCGCTTCCTCGGTTTCCCTACCCTTCTGTTTTCATTTTTCCTGCTGCCCTGTTCTCCCGCTTCCTGTTTTTCCGGTCTCGCGCTTTTCATCTGCATGGTACCGGGAGATGCTCCATTCTCCCGTTTTCGCGCTCCCGTGCCCCCGATCTCCGTTTCCCCCTTTCCCCATTCCCCCGTTCTCTCACTCCCCAGTTTCCCAATCGACCCCTATCCCCGTTTTCGTTCCATATGACCCGGAATTTTTTTAATCCATGTCCCGTTCTCGCGTCCTAATTCCATGTGCTTTCTGGAAATCTATCATAAACGATGGCAACTACCTACTATTTCTACGAGACTTACGGGCGGATGACTTTTTCGCATGATGACGGCAAGCATTCATCGCAAAGAGAACAGCTCCATAGAATCCATCCCCGAACTTTCGTAGCTATCGCTGCACGCCTCGAGGAGTTTCGCGAATTCCTAATGTTCGATTTTTGTGAAGTGGAGCACTCGAAAAATTTATTCAAGGTAGAAGAGCCCATCGCAATGAAACGTTCCCCTATGACCTTACTACAGCTCCCAAAAACAGATAGTATTTTATAAGCCTTCGGCTCTTGAGTAGCGCCATTGTAAACTTGATGCCTCGACCCAGAGCCAGCGATCGCGGTGCCACGCGGCCTTCTCTTCTACTCGGAGTCTGCGGAGCAGCGCTCTCGTCTAGCGGGACAGCGGCTCTTCTTCGGAGCATAAACATTTAAAGCACTGGAATACAGCTTAGAACGCAATCACTGATTGCCATCATTCGATTCCGTATCTCATCGCAGCTCAGGCAGCGCTCCGAGGGCGACGTACGATCCAGATTCATTAGGGACTTGGGACGGACGCGGTCTTCTCTGAGCTGAGGCGACACTCAGTTTTCCGACGGCTCAATCTATTTCAGTTCTCCGCTTACAGTAGAGGAGTTATCTGAAAACTCTGTCTCGGACATCGAAACTATTTCCGCAGTCCGCGCTTAGTGAGATATAAACACTCCATTCGATTCGCGATCGCTTTCCATAGATATTCGACCATTCCGACGCCGGTCAATGGAATAGACGAACGAGTCGTGGAATGATACTCCGAAAGCGCAATGAGTGGGCAATCGCTTCCCCAATCGATCCCTGACTGTGAGACGTCCTGAATTCCGGGAATTTAATAAATATTCTCTCTGGAAGGGCGAAGATCGACCACCCAATGTACGAGTGAATCGCTTCTGATCGGCTTATCTCGTCGTCGTTGGATTCGGGGAACGCTCCTGTAAGGACATCGCAATCCGATCCTTCCTTATCCAAACGTCGGGGAACAAGAACGTCCGGAACGCAGGAATTCCACTGATTATTCATTTCGTTTCTATGGATGCCTCAATCGGCGACGCTCATTAGAATCAAAGCGCGCATGAAGCTGTCCATTCTCCACGGCAATGTTCACCCACGATATAAGTCGACTCACCACGGATGGCTCGTCGGATATACGAGAATCCTAGGAAAGAAAAGAGACAACTGACGGAAATCTTCCAATCGCAGCAAGCTAGGGCTTTTATCGAAAGCGACCCGCGGTCTCATCTGTAGAGGGCGAGTAATTTCGTCGTTCAAACGTTGCTTAGCCGCCCCGAGTGCTTTTGACATATATGAGAGTTTCCCTAGAACAGGTCCGGACGTGTTGTACGAGAGCGCTGGCCTCTGTGCGACTCGAGAGGGTTGTGGAAACTCGAGCGTGAAGTCACCGAGTCGGAATGCTTCCTGTTTGTGGTGGATGCTCAGCTTCGAAAATGTACGTATCTGCTCCTCATTCATCACGCGGCGTGAAAGGAAAATAAAAATCGGAAATCCAGGCATTAGCTCTCCAGAATGAATGAATGACTGAATGAGTTCGGACGGAAGGCTACGTGAGTCGTTGAGAGAAGTCGTCGAGTCGTGTCTGAGATACTTGAGGAGAATCTTCGTTTTGCTCGCGGCGAAACCAGGTTACCGCTCGACCCACGATGAGCTCAAGCCGGGGCTATTGTAGCCTGTGGACTTGATTCAGCACTGCTTACATCACTCTGAGCCAGTAATCGCCGTGTTGCTTGCCCCTCGGAACCTCCGTTGTCATTAGCGACAAACTGTCCCGCTCTGCCACGGCGGCGCGCTGAAACATTCGTTCCAGTTATTTCGCGCGTTAACACCCACAACCGTCCACGGATTCTGCTGCTTTGGTCGAGGAGACCAATGATTAGACTCTGTCTCTGACGGTCATAAAAGGATGAATGTGGGCTAGAGAAGGGCCGGCAGTCACTCTTTGAACTAGCAGCGATTCAAAGTGCGATACTCCCCGTGACCGCGGAAAAACTGTCCGCAGATGCCATGTGATCGCCAATCTCGATGGATGCTTCCAGTCGCTCGACCACCGGGGCCCGAGTTGGAGTCTAGCACGGGCCCGTCACGTGCTCAGACCCCCCCTCTTTCGACTCCGATCCTCATCACCGTTGTGCCCATACCCATCGGAATCGTGTATATGCTGTAAGCTGATCTGTCAAGCGTGGTCCCCGTGCGCCCTCTGGCGGCATGCTGTGGGCGGTCGTTTCGAAACGCCGCTACCGAGACAATAGATCAAACTGTACATTTCACGGTCGACACCGCGCATAGACTAGCAGTGTATCCGTTCCTCGAAGCAAAACAGGATGGAGGATGACATCGATGTCATCCAAGTGATTGGTCGCTTCGGCACCTACCATTGTGAGTATTCTCAAGGAAATTTGGTACATCTCCCGAAGATTCAAGCTCCACTAATTTCATGAGCTCCAAGGAGCTGACGAACGCTCCGAGGGAGGGATTTCTTTTCTGAAGCGGAGCGGGATGCTCGATGTACGCTACGCGTTTAGGATTCCCGATTCCAGCACCGATCAGGCATCAAGCAGATATCGGGTGACAATTATCCTGTTCGCGCGGATAAGCCAAAATTAAGAGAAAAGAAGTCTAAAAGCTTCCGATAGCTTATTGCCTGATCTGCAATCGCTCCTACGTAGATATAGCCTCGAGAAAGCCGAGTGTTCCTCGCTCGGAAGAAGAATTGGTGCGTGATCTCCTCTATATCGATCCATGAAAAATTCCCCGGGACGACTGACTGCCCAACTAACCAGCCGATTCATTGTTCGTCGTCGATCCGCGGGGACCTCGAAGTCTGATATCCAGTTCGGTCGACCGACTTGGCGCCATCAAGCTTTTATCTCTATCGGTCGCGGTGCCAATTCTTCCGTCGAACTACGTCGTACTGTCGATCAGATTTATCCCGTTGAAATCCGAAACTAACGGGTATCCGAAGCCGTTATTCCACTCATTAGCCTCGTCCGCGTCACGATGTATCCATGTCGATATTCTTATCATCGTCAAACGACTTTTACTTGAAGGTATCGTCTTACTTCTCGCATGCACCCGCGCATACCCCGTGGCTTGGACGAACATGATGTCTCCTCTCATGGCCGCCGATGTCCCTCATTGGTGCGCTCCTCCTGACGAAACGATAGATGCCGCTTGGTGGAAAGATAACGGAGTTCCAAAAACACCCAAAGGTACGGCCGTCGAATGTCTTATGTACCGATGGTCCAGTGAAGCCGGCCTTGACACGAACACCACGATTCCGTGTAGTCATGGTTGGTCATACGACAAGGAAGACTACGGAGAGACCGCCACCTCCGAATGGGACCTGGTGTGTGGCGACTCTTGGAAACGATCCGGGATGCAGAGTGTCGTGATGGCCGGCTCCTTCCTCGGGGTAATCGTCTTCGCGAAGATTTCGGATCGGCTCGGACGGAAACTCGCCTTCATCTTCGGCATCGCCCTCCTTCTGACAACAGGACTCTCAGCAGCTTTCGTGCAAAGTTTCGTGATTTTCAATCTCCTCAGATTCCTCTTATCTGCCTCCGCGTCGGGAATCACCGTTGCCACGACCGCGCTGTTCATGGAAATTATGCCGGAAAAAGACAGAATATACATGAACGTGGGCTTCGGAATGGGCTATTCGATTCCACTCATGTTCATACCACTGCTCTCGTACTATCTGCGAAACTTCCGTCACATGCAGTTGGCGATAGGACTATCGGGTTTTCTCATAATTCCATACCTCTCTGTGCTGGAAGAATCCCCTAAATGGTTGCTTGCCAAGCATCGACTCGCCGAGGCCGAAGAGGTCATTAAACGGATTCTAAAGCGGAACAAACGACCCATTCCAAGCATGAAGGAAGTAATGACCCGGTTGGCGGTTCACGCCGAGAGTGAGAACGCGCAGAAGAGTACGAATCTTGGGTATCTTGATCTATTGAGGGTACCGGTCCTACGGCGGAATATTTTCTATCTGAGCATCCTCTGGTTCTGTCATTCATTCGTCGTTTACTACATCGCATTGAACGCCCATAGGCTACCGGGAAACGCGCATCTGAACCTCGCGATCTCAACTTTCGCCGAATTCCCATCGGCCTTTGTGGGAATGTACCTATTGAGGAAATGTCGTCGGCGCCAATCGCAATTCTTCAACTTCAGCACAGCTGCCGTTGTTTTCACTGGCGTGTATTTCTTGGATGATAGCTATCGGTGGACGAAAGTGGTCGGTGGTTTTTTCGTTCGATTCTTCATCTACGTGCATGGCTTTGTGATGTGGACCAACGTCCACGAGATCAACCCAACGCCTGCGCGGAGCGTCGGTTTCGCGGTCACGATGATGTTCTCCCGGACGGCGGCCATGATGGCGCCTTTCCTGAAGGATTTCGGTGACTGGACCCATCACTCAGCGGTCTACGTTATATTCTTGGTGCTCACGATAATTGGGGTCTTCTGCGTGACTAAATTACCTGAAACACTAGATAAGAAACTACCAGATACCATTGATGACGTCGAACAACTCCTCAGAGACACTCTAAATCCGAAACTCAAGAGCGAAAAATCTTCTGCGTGAATCTTCGTTGAATACCGTGAGGCATAGGGAATCAATGAATTATTCGTTGTGAACTGCAAGACTGTCTTCCACATCGGCTTCAGGGAGCTGGAGGAAACCATTGAAGGATGTGGAAAGCTCGGAATGCTCCTAAGTGACAGTGACTCTCGCGATTCCGTTGTCTCTCGGGGCTCGGGTCCGAGACCATCGAGTGTGTGGTGCTAGGTGCCGAAAGAATTATTGTACTCGAGTCCGATACATTGTCACTTGGGAGGTTCAATGAGCATCTTGACTTCGAACCCACATTCGTACATCATCAGCTCATCCCAATCGGAAAAAGGAGCATATACCCACAGGTCTCCTTCTCATTAGTCTGACTGAAGGCTGGCGCTACATCGATGCTTCAATGGATGGTGATTTGAGGTGTGATCGTGTGGAATCATCCTGGATGATTTTGTTAGAGATTGAGAATGCTGTCAAAAATGCTATTTCGTGTGAACGGAATCGTAGATCATGAAATTGCGGGGACGTAAGTGGCTCTCTGTAATACTCACGCTTCTCGCTCAAGAGTCCATGGATGTTTATGGTAGAATTTTAGGCTTGTGTTCTAATACCTATATATCGAGGCCGGAGTTTGCTATCGAGTAGGAAGTGATCGAAAACCTTGAAGTTGTCGCCAGGAATTGGCATCCCATCATGGGGCGGCTACTCAGGAACGTGATGCAAGCTGTCGAAGGATACTGCGCTCGATATTATCACTTCTAAAGTGAATTTTATTATCGTTTCATGGTAGGGAACAGAATGGGTGTGATCGTCACATATAAAAGTGTTCGTCGAGGTGAGGATCGTCGCGGAGGGACTGCTGGATCAGATGTGCGTTGCTCCTCTGGACTTCCAGAGGGATCCGTTGTCGAAGGAACCCTACCGATCGATATTACCGCGTCAGAGGTTTGTTTCAGTCGCCAATCTCTTTAGAGAACAGGATAGCCTCTTTAGCCCAAACGCCGGAGGTCTCTTTCGCGAAAGGTTTGACGACATATTCGTAGCAAGGCCAGCGTAGTGGTTGAATTTTTCCCGTTCGCCCTTGGCTCCAACACCCCCACTGTTCTCGCCAGAGTAGAGTAGCTAGCTGCGTATGTATTCCTAATGGTGACGTCCCAAATCAGAAGTTTTCCTCTGGACCAAGGGGTGAGTGTCATGCAATCGAGGCGGATCTCGTCAGAGGAATTCAGGTGTGGAGGCTCGACGCGGACTGCGATGCCCATCTGGCGAACGGCTCTTACGAAAACGTCATTGACGGCGTTGTGGCGAGCCAGTCTGAACGTGGAAACCGAAGAGCAGCTGAGATGGTGGTAACCCTAGGAGTCCGCCGTAGATCCGCACGCGCAGAGATGTTCCGGAAGAGAGGGATCCCAAGCCGAAGGCTACAAGCGATACGGAAGGAGGAGTTCCGGAGCTCGGTGCCAAGGTCCTCATCAGGGCGGACGAGTAGCCAAGCTCCACTGTGGGGACGCGCGGCGTGAGCGAGTCGAATGCTCTCGGAAAGGTCACTGTCGAGAGCGGAGAAGAGGAGGGACGTGGCCTTCGCCACAAAAATTTTGTCCCAAGGGGTTGATGCGCATGTTCTCGGAAGCAGAGAGAAAAATAATATCGTCTGGTGGTGACTTTCTGTACTCAGTTGAGTGACCGATGCAATCCTAGGAAAGTGGATGAGAACAAGAACCCTTACTGTGAAGCCTCTGACGGTAAGGGCTTTTCTACAATAAATGCGACAAGCTCTAACTCATCTTGTCGAACACTCACTGTTGATTTCGATAGTATATGGCGCAAAGTTTTTATCAGTACCCCTTTGTAGGGTCTTTCGGGAGGATTCAAGCCGCCGCCGGAGGAGTTTTGGGACGCTAAGGCTTTATTCAGATTACCGACCTCTGCCTATTTCATCGATACTTCCATGGAGAATGCTCAGATGAAATCTCTTCCCTCGTTCCCCCTATTTAGGTCTCCGCCCGTGTAACCAGAAAGAGTACCGAGCAGCATCCCTACTCTGTCCAACTTTTCTCCAATCGTACTGCTCAATTCGCCTCCACCTTTTTCCCCCGCACATCCCGTCTATGGAGTGCCCTTCCCCTCATGTCTTCCCTCCAACGTATGATGCCCTTCAAGTAAAGAGCCTTACGTTTCTTCAGTTGGTTATATTCACATGAGCCCCACACTCCAGCTGAATTTTCCTCTCCTCTGGGTAGTTCGTCAATGCATTTTCTCCTATGGCTCTTTTACCTCTCCCTCCTACCTTCCTCTCAGTCCCCCTCCCCTTTTTCGCACTCGCAGTTCCTTCCGAGAATTAAAGGGTCACCCCTTTGCGAGCTGCTCCACCGAAAAAAAAAGCGTTGATATTCAAGAGGGAGGTGCTATCTTCGATGACTGTCTCTTAGCGATCAGGATCTTCCACTTCGCACCCGTTCCGACGCCGGGGCGGTACCGCCCAATCATCAGCAGAGTTTTTTTCTCACCCAGCCCTCCTGCCGGAACAGGATGGACGATGACATCAATGTTTAGCAGGTGCATTGAGCCTCGATCATCTCAGCCGCTTGGCCGCCGCCACCGATACTGATACAACTGATACCACCGATCTTGCCCGACAGTCCCGTTTCCCGTTTATACTTAATTGGCGAGAACGGGTGGAGCGCCTAATATCGACGTGGTTGTCACGTCGGACATACGTCAAGTTCGAGGATCGATCGCTGAGAGAAAGCAAGAGGAGTCGTCCGGAAGGGGATAGCCACGGGGTAGAGTACACCGGAGGTTCTCCGCAAATCTGAACGAAGAGTTTGCCAGCAGAGATTCGCAGAACAGAAATTCGGAGAATCGAGAAAATACCGTATGAGAGGTATCGCCACAAGGGAGGACTGAGTTCTGTTGGACGATGCCGACGTGTACGTCTCCGGAAATTCTCTCAATGACCTTGGCGAGCGCCGAGCCAAAGTCGTACTTAACTCAGACGGGGCCCAGATATCTCCCTGAGCCTGAGAGAGTGCTCTCAATGCATTGCCGAGATCCCCCCGCTCAGTTCATTTCTTTCCAGTCCGGCTTCAAGGAAAAAAACTTGCACGGTAGGTGGACGACGGGTTCTTCGGCTGAAGGAAGTCACCTCGCTCAATCATTTGCTTGGATTCCTGTACCATGCTCCCCGCAGGCCGACCCAATCTAGGCATGAGAGACGAGCAGGTTCAAAAGGAGATAATCCTTCCACTCCTCACCCCACGGCTATCTTTGCATCAAACTGCCCCGTCCAACCGAGCGTCTGAGCCACGCTGAGGCTCTGCTCGCCTCTCTGAAGGTCCGAGGGATCGGAGGAATTGAAGGATCACCCCTAGTTAAACTTCAGGAGGCACCCTCGAGATTGGGCTTGTCTAAAACATCTCGGACGGCGTGGGTGAAACTTCGCAGTTTGAAGCGGTTTTCGTACAGAGCGTCCTTCCCTTGAGCTACGAACTCTCTCGTCGATTACTCATCAGCTCATCAGATAGCTAGCTATAGGAATCTCTCTCGGTCTGGAGATCCGGGGGAAGGACACGAAGCTTCGAAGAATCGGTAGAAGCTCCGTTTCTGTTCCCCAATCTCAAACAATCCAAGTTCTCGCGCCGGGAAGCATGAAAAATGTGGACGGAATTTTTCTACCTGTGATAGGAGAGTCCCCGAAATGGTTGACTGCAAAGCATCGACTCGCTGAGGCCGAAGAGATCGAGAACTGAAACGGAATAATCGCCCGGTCCCTGATGTGCAAGAGTGGATGGCCAAGCTGGCGGTGCAAGCCGGAAGCGAAAACGCGCAGAAAGGTACCAATCTCGAATATCTAGATTTATTGACGGTACCGATTCCACGACTTAACATTCTCTGCATGAGCGTCATCCGGTTTTTCGAAGCGTTTGCCAGATAATACATCGCGCTGAACACGCATAGGCTACCAGGGTACGCGCATCTCAACTTCGCGATCTGGACTTTCACGGATTTCCCCTCTGCCGTCGTGGGCATATATCTCTTACGGAAATGTCGGCGACATCAATCGCGAATACTCCATTTGATCGCGGCCGCTCTTATTTTCTCTAGTGTGTATTTCTCGGATGCGACCCTTCGTTGGACTAAGGTTATCGGTAGCTTTTTCGTTCGATTCTTCGTCTACATTCATGGCTTCGTCATCTGGGCCCATGTTCACGAGATCAACCCAACACCCGCTCGGAGTGTGGGTTTCGCGATTGCAATGATGGCCTCTAGGGCGGGGGGCATGATGGCGCCATTCCTGAAGGAATTCGGGGATGTGACCCACTATTCGGCGGTCAACGCCGTTTTCTCGATTCTCGCTTCGCTCACAGTGTTCTGTGTGATGCAGCTACCCGAAACACTGACTAAGAAGCTCCCGGACGCGATCGATGACGTTGAACGGCTTCTTAGAGACACCAATCGTCCGACCTGAGAGTTCTCTATGATACCTGCAGAAATAAATGTAGGATCGTTCGAACTCAATCGAATCTCGAGCGGGGGTAGGATACCACTCCTTGATGAGTCAGGCGGCATGTAAGCGCGTTCTTCGGGGGAAACGACGCAGTCTCGGGAGTTCCCGTAGAAAGTCATCGACCTAGGTCGCAACTTAGGTGGCACTGCAAAAGCGCTCTGGCGGTGCTCCGAAGCTCCAGGAAGCTCATCCGCTGTCGAGAAGGTCTTGTGTGACCAATGAGTGCATAGAATGAAGGAGTAGAGCTGCGAGCATTTGGTGAGGGATTGTCGCCAGACGTGCAGAGGATATCCCCCGGTAGAATTGACGCTGACTTGCGTCGCGAAGGTACATAGGTCTCGAAGAATCAATTTGTTCCCGAAGAATCACAGCAATATTATAGACTAAGGGCTGAGCCCGAATAAATTAGAGCGGTCACGAGAAGACCAAATTTTGATGATCGCAAACCAAGGCATGTCGATGATTCGTTTGGATTCGGGAAAATTATTTGCAAGAATCAGTCCCGCCCGACTCTGAGCGCGAGCACTTCCGCAGCGCGGGTGGTCCACCGTTCTGATCTTTTCGTGACCGAATCACGTGACTGTGGTGTTTGTTGACATCATGTCAGTTCATGGAATAGGTTCGGAGGTTATTAGTCTCGATCGGGGCTACCATATTCGGTAGCTTTTTCAGAATGTTTCGACATATGTCCTCATCCTTGCTAGCTGCAGAACTGACTTGCTTCTGGAATTCCGCTCTCACGAAGTCTCATTATCTGTGGTCATCGTCCGCATAGAGGGTCTGCGCTCCCGCCGGAGGTGGGATCGAGGCTGAAGGAGATCATCCGCACTCATTGGCGATGGGTGTGACTTAAGGCTCGCTAGATCTCAGAGCTAGATGCTCGTGGCTTGGAGATAGGGTACGCCCTGTCCTCTTCTCCCACAACTTCGTTCCAACACATAATAGAAGAGTCCAAAACACAGAGCATGGACTCGCTGAACCCATGTTCCGAAGATCAGCCCAACGGTCGCTCGGAGTGTCGGCTTCGCGGACGTGATGATGGCCTGCCATGGTGCCCGGTGCCATGATGACCCGCGAGGCTCACGCAGACACGGCCGCACCGGCTGTTCGCGTCGTTTTTCTCATCCTTAGGTCGTTGTCAGCATTCTCCGTGATGAATTCACGTGGGAAACTTGACAGGAAGCTCCCGGGTACGATCGTCGACGTCGAACGACTCCTCGGGGACACTACACATCCTGAGGTCCAGAACGGGACGTCTCCTGCGTGAAAGCCCGAAAGAGTCGAATTTTGCCGCCCTCGAAATAGCTCTAAGGGCTGATGATAACCCGGCAATGGCTCGTGAACCCATCACGCTCGATGATGCCGAGATCTCCAGTTCAGAAAATTCAGATGCCGACACCTACTTCAAGCTCTCAATTTTATTAGCAGAATATACTCTTGACCGAATTCCACGAATATAATGCCATTGGCTCCGCGCGCAGTAGATTCTGAAGCCGTACCAGAGAGATCCACTTTGCAAATCGTTCAATTTGGACTAAGATCACAATCACATCAAATATCATAAGTCGTCGATACCTCAATCAACCGGGCTCATTCGAATTAAAACTATCGGTGGCGGAAGTCACGTCAGCTCGAGGCCATCTATGTTCAGCGTTGTGCTCAAACAATTGCTCCTCCGGGTCTAGCGATTTTGTCTCTGAGGTCTTTCAGAGCTGTATCGACTCGTTTCGACATTTTCGTGAATTTCTCCAAATCTGGTCCGAGCATGCTGCAGAGTGCCGGTACCTGGGAGAAAAAGAGGAATTCATCAGGCTCCGTTCAGAGGTGAAGATCGAGCACTGATTCGATGGACTGTTGCTGCATGACGTTGACTGAGCATTCCAGCGCGAACTCACATCGTTATAGCTTATCTGACAGAATCGGAAGAGAGCAACAAGAGCTCTCCAACTTGCTTCTTCACTTAGTTCCGAGTGTAAGTACTGAAGCAACGCTGTAGCGAATTCGGTGGCTTGATCGTCGAAAAGCTGTCGGAACAAAGATAATTCTGATTTACTCCGCACCGAGATCGAATAGTGAGACGCAATTCCATGAGTTACCCGTTGCAACGACTAACCTCTTTAAGAGCAAGGTTATACATGAGAGCGGCGGCCTTCTCTTGAGTGTCCTTCCGGTCACAGAGCAAAGCGTGTACGACAGCGCGAGTGGTCACCTGCATGAATAAATCAAATGTTTGTATTTTGGGAATTCTGCGAGAACTGTTTTCTAATGTTAATATACATGTAAATATCGTCCACCACGCCAACGAATCCACAAGCAGGTGCAGGGTTCATGCCATTGAGGAATGTCTTGAGAATTGGGACCGCTCACCTTGCAGTTGTTGCAAGAGCCTGGCGTTCCGTCGTCAGCGGGCCATTCAGAAATATACATCAACCAGTCGAATGATGAGTTATGTTTACAAAAGTTGCACATCTGGGAATGGGAAGCCAAGATCCATAAGGACTCTGTACGGGAAAGATTTCGAGCTTTAGAGAGTTCGGGATTCTCGCGAATCGGCGCGAATTCTCACCAGGATCATGATGGCATCCTGTTCATCCACTGGGAGTTTCTCAATCTTGAAGACGTAGTTGAGGATTGCATGACTCTGAAGCAAGAAGGAGCAATGAAGATATGGAGTACTCCAAATAGTAGGATCTACCCACAACATTGTATTCGGAGTCGCACATCATCCGTAGGAAACGAACCTTGCGATCCTGGTGCAAAAAAAGAATGAAGTCCTCTTTCAGGGCACAAGCTGATAGAAATTGGACGGTCGCCAATCGGATTTTTGGATCTTGGTTATCGGCTAGCAGCACACCTAGAATTCACTTGATAAGCCAGTCCGTCGATCTTGATCACCGATAGATTACGCGGCATTTATATGTGTCTTCTCCTGCACAAAAGCTTCATGTAGAGCGGAAACAATAAGCAAAGGTGGGCGCTCACCCAGAAGATCGAGATGAGGCCCTCCCAGAGACCAGGAACCACAGTCTGTGTTGATGTACTCAGCGAACTCCCGGAGACAAGAGGAGTCCTCCTCCGATAATTTACCCTGCAGCCTCTCTTCGACAACTTGCAACGCCGACGTTCCCTTCGAGAATTTTCATATCGTTCACTTCTCACTTTTTCCAAGCTTCCAGACAATCGGAACAACCTGATTTTTCCACTCCACTCACGTCGATTGGCTCGAAGCATATGGCCGGATCATCGTAGCGTCTTGTTTTTCTCGGAGTCACCGGAGCTCGATTTTCCGGAGATTCGCTCTCGCGTCCGGGATTCTCGACCGTGTCACTCATCTGAAAGGGAGCACATCGTTCCCTGAATGATCAGTTGCATGACACTCTACGATACGGCGATGAGTTCGAATTGATCATCACTATGTCCCATCAGAGTCTCCTGGATATAAAGAATTAATATGCGGATGCACTTTCGCTTACCCTCTGGTCTGGGAGATGCGGTCTACTGATCGGATCGATAGCCTACAAGCGGATCAAGGAATTAAAAGGAGCGATCATACAGCGCTCGTCGGTGGCTCCCCGGATTTCCGAGCTCACAGAGAGGGCTCCCGCCGGAATGTCGACTCAAGGGCAATCTGTCCGCCAGAGCCCGAACGCCGCTTAGTCAGTGTTACTTGTCCACGAAAGACACGAGCGATGCCCAAACTCGGCAGAGAGGCCTCTCCCGCAAAGGCTGAGCGGCGAGCCGGTCCCGTTCTCGCCGCATGTTTCCGGAGATATTCGATTTTCCATGCTTTCTAAGGTTCGACGAAGAGGAGGAGAAGACGGGCGAAACCAAGTGACGTGAGCGCATCGGTGAACGTGGAGGCATCGACGGGCGTAGGATTCGGGGAATTGCGCGGGACGAGCCAGGGCATGAGTTCGCAGAATTAGTCAGTCGAGTCCCGGGCCAAGTCCGCGACGTTAAACGGCTCGTCCTGAGCGTCAGGATTTCGTACCTGTCTTTCCGGTGAACCCTCTCTCCGTCGGAGGTTCCGCTGTGCGTTTTCTCCAAACGAGATTCCCCTCGCGTTCTCGCCCCTAATCGAAGGCTGTGCGCTCAGCAACTGAGCGATATTCGCACCGAAGGGTCTGCAATCGAAGCAACACCACCCGTGAACAACACGAACCCGGGAAAACGAATTTTCCACGAAACTCAGTCAGGAGAGCAGAGCCAAGGCCGTGCTCAGCAACAGAACTGGTGGACGCTTATTTGAAGTCTCGTCTGGCTGGAGAAAAGCTTTTAACCAATTTCCTCGATCGGCACTCGAAACAGGCCGGCCAGGCGAGGAAGAGTTCTCTCTCAGTCGTTCCGTAGCCAACAGCCTAGTCATGGCTCAGGTTCGCAGCCTGTAGCGATGACGCCACGGTCATAGAGTTACATAGTTGTTTTGACTGTACGGGTGTCTTCAGTGAGTCGGATGAGAATGGAAAAATTTCCTGTCACATCGACGGGAACAGCAATCAGTAACTGAATCTTTTTTGAACTCGCACTCACGTGTTGAGAACCTCATCGGGGAGGCTCAGAATTTCATCGGGAATGCCACGGCCCGTGAGAAATTGGGCCACCTCGTGGCTGAATGTATTGCAGTTATGTTTGAACAAGTCATATTTCAACCCCTGGAAGCGGGAAAACGATTTCAGTCTTCAGGACGGAAGCCCCGCCGAATCAGCGAGCGAGATTTGAGCTTGGAGTCCAAGCTGAAGTGATAGACTTTGGAACAGCGATGCGAAGAGCCAAGTCTCACGCGAGACTTACATGGAAAGTCGTTTCGCCCAGCTCCATGATATACTCGAAGAAGATCACGTAAGGCACCTCAGTTTTACCGAGGGGCATAATCTGCATCGGCTCCTTCAGAATCGTCTCTCCCGGCCCGCAAGACTCCACACCCTGCGAGCCGTAGAAGTATTCCCTGTAATTAAATCATAGGATTCAACAAACTGGGAAGAACTCGAGATTCGGCGCTGAGTTTCAAGGAGCGAGCCTCACCTGCCGTAAGCGACGATCGAGGTGTGCCATATCGCGGGGATTTCTTTCCCTGAAACACGGAAGAGCTCTTTGAACAAGGAACTCTAACGTCTGTGCATTCTAGACGAAGAACATTTGTCGTGAAATTCCGACTCGATTTCCGTCCAGGTGCCGGGAAATCTCATGTACAAGCCGCTCCCACAGAACGAAATAATCGCGATTCCGAATCGGTCTCGCGACAGATTGTAATCGGACGGAGTTTGTGAATGGATACCCGAGCCTCGGCTACGCTCGAGGGAGTGAATGAGAATGGAGCTACAAGCGACCATTACACCACCGAGCCATACACCTATCGGTAATTGGCTCTCAGCGAGATAATCGAAAGCGGCACAAGGTTTTATTCGCAGCTTGTTAATTGACCTAATACTGAGCTGATTGATCTGTTAGTTGTTTTTCAGTGATTTGCAAAACACGACACTCGCGATACCGACACCACTGCTAGAGGCCCCTATTTACCGGTTGGGAAAAATTCTGAAACACAAAGGGAAACACGACCATTAAACGGGCTCGAACTAGGATTTATCGAGTGTGCCGACACTCCGCGGTCTTCAGACCAAGTCTTTTATCGATCCCCAAGTTCATATCCATCGTCATCCATCGACGCTCAGGACGTCTCTGGAGCGCTCTGCCTCCTCCACACACCCGCTCCGACGATATCCTCGGACAGAAGCGAAAGTTTCCGATTGGCGAAATCTCAGACGTTTCTTGTGGGAGGCTTCCAGAGCGTAAACTCGACTCTAGTCTAAGAATAGTTTAACTAACGAGCCTGTCGGCTCGGAACCCTTAAGGAGAAAGCCAACACTCGCCACCCGTCGGATTCCTCACGGGTCAAGAACGTTCAGCTCGAATCAAGAGCATCCGGAAAAACCAACTTCCACAGCTCTAAGGAGAAACATGGCTCACGGCGGGTGATCCACAGGACAACTTAATCGCTCGGCAGGTAGTCTCGAGCACCTGAATGAGACGCGATTTCTCTTATGGCAAGTGACTGACTGACTGTCTGTCAGGCTGACGTCACAGAGCGGGAGACCGTCTGCCCGAAGCGATGATGCAGCGAATTCGTTCTTGATTAGCGGATCACCGCGATTTTCTGCGTTCATTTCCTGCAGAAGCAACTCGGGATGCTTCCGCGTTCCATACCATCTTCTGGAGCTCAGAAGAATGAATACTCGCCACGCTGATTCGTAGCCGCGCTAAGCGCTAACGAGCGATGGTGTCTCAGGCGACTTTTCGGCTTCTGAAGAGAATTCTGCTCACAATTATCGATACTCACCCAAAAACATGGGGCTCAGCGCTTTGGCCATGCCCCTCGAGAGATCGTAGATGTAGAGCCTCACGTCGACCGCTTCTTCCGACATGGCAGTAGAGAGGATTCTTCGGCCGCACTTAGAACACTTTCAATCGGAGTCGAAAATTAAATGGGAAATTCACGGTCGAGGTGGTAAACTGAATCAACACCCACAGGGCAGCATTCGTCCGAAAAAGAGCTCCCAAGAGCAGTCCTTAGAGCAGGTGTCGTCCGTAGAAAAGATCGAGTCGCCCTGACCGGTGAGAGTCTGACAGTCGTTAGTCTGGGTGGTCTCGGCGGCAGCCACGGAGAAGAACTTTCTCGCCAATGCTCGATTGTTGTTCTCCCAGTTTCGATGAGCAGCCACCAGGGGGCGCCCCTAACCGAACCCCGAGCCCCGAGATGGCTCAATGGCTCCGTAAAGGAATCCTTCGTGGAGTCGAAGCTCCTTCCGAGGATTGCCGAAGACCCCGAAGAGAGCTCGATATATTCCAGAAGCATGTGGATGCACATGGAGGAAAGCTTTCGGATATTCACAGTCGGACCGGAGAGTGAAGCATGACATCACAGGTCGCGTTCGGACTTTCTCGGACAGTCGAGATGTTGACGTCTGAACACGCAAACTAATGGCGGTAGAGAATGAAGGCTCCGAAATCTTCGAGAGATGCTCCCGGAATGGCTGCGAATCTTCAACGAGAGGGGCTCCCCTCTGAGGCGAGAGAGCGACCAACATCGCCCGGCATTCAGCCCGCGCTTCCGCGGCTTTGAAAAGTCGCCCTTTCCGTGGTCCACCCTCACGTGTTGTCGGCGCGAATGGAACATGCGCGCTCAGCGAACGTGTTTGGTCATACTTGTGCCCGAACTTGTCGGTTCGGAGTTTCGTTCGACTCATTCTGACAGGCTCGGTGATCATCTCCGTGAGCGAGTTCACGTCCAAGAAACGTGAATTATAAAGGATAAGGTCGGTTTCGGGGACTAGATGCCGATCCAGATGAATCTCACACATGTTGCACATTCGAACCGAGGGGGGTCCAAAGTGGGGTCGGTGCTTCCCTCCTCTAACTCTCGTGCCGTGAAGTATCACTTCATAGAAGAATGTTTTTGATCACTTCTGTATCCTTGCCTCAACAGCTATGGCAAACCCGAAGAAGTCGAAGCGAGAAGAGAAGGTTGTCGAAGCTGCACCCATTGATGGTGAGATCTCGTGTCTAATTGTTCCAAATGCTCTCTCAAAGCGGTCTACACTCCGTACGAAGTTCTATCTCGGCCGTTTCAGATGATGATGAAGTCCTTGACTCGGATGACGAAGGCGATTCTGGAGACGATTCATCATCAGCTGGTGAGGATGGGGACGTGGTGAACCAAGTAATAGACGTCAATTTCGAAGCGTTTCCTCCGGACGACTCAGACTTTCATGGAATCAAGAAACTACTTCTCCAAGTGAGTCGGTCTAGTCTGAGTCTACCCCGACATTTGGAGCGCTCATCATGTCCTCCACTCCCTCAGGGATATATGTACCCCCGAAGACCGAAACTTAACCGCTGTTGTTCCAAATGGCGCCAATGATTTCAGACATTCAGGAACGCCCATATCAATGTCTCGGACCTCGCGAATCACCTCATAGAGCTCAACAAGCTATCACTGGTTCTGCGGCAGTCCGATGATGACATGCTAGACGATGACGATGACATGGAAGATGACGCAGAGGTTTTCGGGGTCGGAGGGTTATTGCCGCTCAACTCAGATCGGGAAGGGGTGAAGGATGTCAAGAAATTTCTACTTGAGCAAGCCGGGGAGGTGAGTTAGGGGCGTGGACTCCAGCGCTCATATTCCCAAATTTTTCGAGTGAATGTTGATATTTCTCAGCTGGTCGTCAGCGGACGATCCAAACGGGATCCCATTCTCTGGAAGTCCAGCGGGTGACCGCGATTTTTCTCTCATCCAGAAAGGACAGGCTCGCTCCAAATTGGAACAGATCTTCTCCAGCGGCTCGATAGGATTCCTGATCTCAGAAAGATTCGTGAATATCCCGCCCAGGATAGCGGCACCAACTCTGAAGAGCATATATGAAGATTGGAAAAAGGTTGGTGTTTAGGCTTTGATCTCGCGCTTTCAACACGAGAATGGAGTGGGAATATTCGCCTGACACTTCCTTAATCCCTTCCAGATGCCCAAATCGAACAAAACCTTCGATTTCAGTCACCTCGTTGTGATATGCAAACAGTACAAAGGAGCGAACAGCTTGATTTACGCCAACGGAGAGGAAGAACTTTTCGAAGATCTCGCGGACTTCAAATTTTCATATGAAGTGCGTGGATTCCCATTTTCGATAGTCCATGAGCTTCGGCGAGTTTTTTAGGGCAGCGGCTCATTGGATCACCGTATCACTCCACAGGTACCCCAAGGGGACGCAGATACAGCTATAGCCGGGAAATGGAAAGAAGGCGACGAGGAGTTGAAACAAATTCGTCAGGTTCGTAGTCCGTCGGAAATCGTGGCTCCTCAAACGATTGTCCCAAGAGGAAAGTGCAGCCCACCCCATCTTAAAAGTTCCTTGATTCTCTCAGGTGCTCGTGCTCGATCCCAAGAAGCTTCCGGAAATGATCCAACTGATCGAAGAGAACGTCTGATGGAGGTCGTTGAAGCTTTGCCTTACTGTTATAAATATTTTCTGCTCCGGAACAATATGAGCCTTATCCTTGACCGTCGATCGATCAGATAACGAAGTTCCCGGGGGATTTCCGGACGGACATTCGGTAGGGACTGATAGACTCGCTGTCTCGTCTCGGAGCAAGAGCCGGTGAAACCGAAGTGAATACTTGATAGGAGTGCAAGGCTTCGGGTCGAGAAATGGGGAAATTCAGGCCTCCCGTGAAGCCTCATGCTTTCTCCAAGACTACATCCACCGAGATTAAGGTGGAAAGTAAGCTCATTCATTCTTCACTTGTCCTCCGGGTACTCGTCCGAGAATCCTGCGACTCGGAATCACAAGGTGTCATCTCCGAACCCTCGCAGGTGGAAGTTATTCGGCGTATACAGCGGAGGAATCAGTTCCCTCGAGCATTCCGAGTGATTTGGAGTGGGATGAGATCGATTTCCAGGTGCTCTCCCGCAGAATACCTGATGCCTTGAAGTCGAGTCCTGCCGAAGATGTACACGATTGTGCCATGTCTAGCTTAACTGTTCTGACACTTGATTTAGTGAAGTTACCGATAAATTCATCATTTAGAGACCTAGATTTTCCGCCGTCAGCCATCTGAGGCCTTGAACCCTTACAGAAACTGAGCGCGAAATATCTTCGACGCCTTCTCAAGAGCGAGAGGAATACCTTCGAGGGTCAGCTTTCTCTAATAGAAGTACTGGAAAACGTCATGCGCGACAGATATTGGAAACAGAATGAGCCATCAAGATAGTGATTCGCCGTGAAGACAGGTCAATAAAGCGAGCTGAATACCCAGCGGTCATCTTCCTTGACAGCAGGGCATGGGATGAAATAATCATCTTCATACCCATGGTGCGCCATCCAGGATGATACAACTCCGTAGCGGTTAGGAGGTAGGGAGGAGAACTTCAAGAACCCTGGAACGGATGTATCAATGTTCGAAACTCTCACATCATTTCTTTGATCGACTGAGCTCATAAAATTGCCTCAACTTTATGTCTGAATTCATTCTGCGCGGTCAGTCCTCAGAAATCACCAACCGATCGATGATACTGTCCTCCGGCGGCTGTTTGAGCGACTACAAGGTGGTTGACGATCGTTCCTCGAGGAGACATTTATTAATTCGTATTCTCTTCTCTCTCGGATTTTCAATGATTTCTAGGAATCGTTTTTTACAGAGCTCCGGCACAAGATGCGCCGAAAGGAGGTTGTGCATCCTACTGAGCTGGATGAAGACATCGTCGAATTTACCTTGACGACTTGCTGCTTTTCGGCAATCTCCTCACATCCTCAATCGTGTCGGGGAGCGGTTGGTCAAGAGTTTCAGGTAGTTTACTCAGACACCACAGGTCTGCGAAAGTGAATAAAACAAAAATGTACACGGGGAGCGCGTGGTGGATCCAAGTGCTGAGATCTTTCACAAACGGTGCAAGCATGGCGCCGATTCTTGAGAACATCATGCTGAGTGCGAATCCCGCACTCCGAACGGGGGTCGGATGGATTTCATGCACCGCGAGCCATTTAATGTACCCGAATAGGCTCAGAAACAGGCGGACGACCATCATGCCCCACACCTTCACGTTACTATGCTTGTCGTCGACAAAGAAGAGAATGCAGAATAAGACGGCCGATATGAAGACACTGACCATCTGGGACGGTCTGCGACCGCAATTCCTTATCAGATACATTCCGATGAGCCCAGCGGGGAATTCTGACAGAGTGGATATTGCGAAATTGAGATGCGCATTCCCCGGAAGTCGGTGAGCATTTAAATGAAGGTAATAGCCTTTCACCGACCAAGTGAAGCAGGTCACTGCGATCAGAGCTGCGTTCCTTCTCAGAGTTTCATCTTTTAGGATATCCGTAACAACGAGATTCTTGCTTTCCGCGGCGGTCTCGGTTTCGGCTCTCGCCATGAGCGCGGGCATGATCGAGTACATGTTTGGTATCGGTCTCCTGTTCCTCCTCAGGATTCCAATTATGACGCGTTCGGTCTCGTTGACGTGGTGCTTCGCCAGGAGCCATTTCGGAGACTCGTAAATGACGAACAAAAACGGAATCAGGACGATCCCAGATAGTCCGATGGCGAGCTGCATGTGGCGGAAATTCGATAGACAATAGGATAATGCTGGAATCAGTAGGACCGGGATCGCGTAGCCCATCCCGAAGCCGACGTTCATGAATATTCTGTCTCTGACCGGCATTATTTCCACTGTCATTGTGACGATCGCAGTCGTCATACCGGCTGTAGCCGATGATTGGATGAAGCGGAGAGCGTTGAAGGTCAAGAAAGTCCGCGCAAAAGCTGCTGGCAGGGCTGCTACGAATACCACCACGAGGCAAATCACGAAAACCCGTTTCCGACCGATTTGATCGGACATCTTCCCGAAAACGACCACACCCGCGAAAGATCCCGCCATGATGATACTCTGCATGGCCGACTTCTTCCAGGCGTCCCGGCAAACAAGATCCCATTCTGAAGTCGCAGTCTCTCCGAACTGCTCCTTGTCATACGTCCAGCCGTTCGAGCACTCCTCCGATTTGTTGAAATTGATTCCGTCTTCGACAGTCCATCCGAACATCGAACATTGTTCGAGTGTGCCGTCGGACGATTTCGGGATTCCGTTATCTTTCCACCAAGTCGCGTTGATTGTCGAGTTGGGGGCCGAGCACCAGTGAGGCACATCGGCCGCCATCAGAGGAGACATCATGTTCGTCCACGCAACAGGATACGCTCGCATGAGAGCGAGGAGGATCATCATCCCTGGAAGTGGTCGGATCCTTTATTCACTCGTTGATAAGTAGTGAAGGCGCGGCGCCGGCTCGGGTTCGGAAGTCGAATTTCGTGAACTGAATCGTACTAGAAGCTGCACGCGTTCGCACGCACTCGAGATCGTCTCGGGCTTCCGGAACTCCCCACGGAAACCCCGGCTAGGCTTGGCGGCCTCCATTCGCAACTGTCACACCGAACGCTCTCATCAGCCGACCATCCGATCAGAGCACTCCTGGGCGACCGAGAAGCTGCTCGAATCCAGAGACTCGAGGACTCCCGAAGAAGCTGGTGCCGCTGTTGTGTGCAAGAGATTCACCGCCGCGCCGTTGAATCATACAGGTCTCTCACCATGGTATATCCCGAAACGACCAATAACCTGGATCACGTCTGCGTCGTCCATGGTCCTGAGGGAAGCGCAGCCGAGGATGTGCCGTCAGGAACTAGCTTGTCCAGTCCCGTAAAGCCGGCGTCTGTGTTTACCGTCATAAAGAAGTTCTGCTCGATACAAGCAAGATTTTGGAGAATGATATCTATTTTGAGAGGCTTCCGTGTTCTTGAGCTCCACCGAGGTCATTGACTGATACTCGGATGAGGGTTCCCTATATGTGATTCTGATAAATTGGTTTCAAGGAGGAACAATGCCCCCCCATTAGGTAAATCCCCATTTCGGCCGGCTATCGGATAATCGACTGGATGACAAGAAATCCGCAATTTCCGAGTCGAACATCATTAATTAGTTTATTTATTTTATCCATCGATTTTTTTCACATCACCAGTCGCGAGCATCTCGTTGTGATCTTCGGTAGGAACTCTGACCCTCGGATCTCGGGTCTGTTTGAGCAAATTCTCTGCATCTTCAATCGTATCAGGCAATCGTTTATTCAAAGTTTCCGGTAGGAGGTATACTAAGCATAGATCAAGCGTCGAACAAACCAAAAACAGAATGAGAGGGACGTTACGATCAGTCAAATCTCCAAGATCCTTCAAGAAGGGAGCTAGCCCCGCCCCTACCCGCGAAGCCATCATCGCCAATGCGAAACCCGCACCTCTCGCTGCGGTCGGATATACTTCATGGACTTGAACCCATTGAATGTAGTTGAACAAGGTCATGAAAACTCGAACGACCATACTTCCCCACACTTTAAGAAGCTCACTGCTGTCACGGGCAAGGAAAACCATCGCGAAAAGTGCGCCAGCCAGAATCGTGCTGGCGGCTTGCGTAACTCTCCGGGGACACTTACGGAGCAGATACATCCCTACGATGCCGGCGGGAAATTCGGAAAACGTCGAAATAGCGAAATTTACGTGCGGGTTTCCCGGCAGTCGGTGTGCGTTTAGTGCTAAATAGTATGACCTGAGGGAATTCGTGCACCACATGACAGCGAGGAGCGTCGCGGTCCGCCTCAATATCGGTACTCTGAGGAAATCGACAAAACCCAGGTCTTTACTTCGTTGCGCGCTCTCACTCTCAGCAAGTCGTGCCAATCGAACCATGACGGAGTCCATGTTCGGCATCGGTCGCTTGTTCATGTCGATAATTCGAGTTATGACTGTCTCAGCGGAATTCACGCGTTGCTTGGCGAGCAGCCATTTGGGTGATTCGTACACAAAAGGCACAAATGGAACGAGCAAAAAGCCAGACAGACCGATCGCTAGTTGCATGTACCGGAAATTCAGGAGGTAGTACGAGAGCACAGGGATGAACAATACGGGCACCGCATAACCCATTCCGAAACCGACATTCATGTAGATTCGGTCCTTTCCCGGCATGATCTCTATGAACATAGTCACCAGCGCGGTGGTCACGCCGGTAGCGCACGTCGCTTGAATGAAGCGGAGAGCGTTGAAAATCATGAAACTCCCGGAGAATGTCGCAGCTATACCCGATATTATCAGAAGAAGCAAGCCGAGGTGGAAAGCTCTCTTCCTTCCGAAAGTGTCGGACAGTTTGCCGAACGTTAGAACGCCGGCGAACGCGCCGGCCATTATTATACTCTGCATCAGCGACCGTTTCCAGGCATCACCACAGACGAGATTCCACTCTGAAGTCACTGTTTCTCCGAATTTGCTCTTATCGTACACCCAGCCGTTGGTGCATTCCGAGGTCGAGTTCCGCTCGATTCCTCCATCCAGGGTCCACCGAAACATGCTGCATTCCTCGAGATCACCCGATGGCCCTCTGGGGATTCCGTTTTCCTTCCACCATGTCTCGTTGAGCGAACCGTCGGGAGCGGCGCACCAATGAGCGACATCGGCCGCCATCAGCGGCGACATCATGTTCGTCCACGCGGCGGGGAAGGCTCGGATGCATGCTAATGCGAGAAGGAGTCCTGAAATCCAGACCGATCGATGGTGTACTTCTCAGGACTGCGGAGCGAGAGAGATTGACTCATCTGTCTAATGATTAGGCGTCTTAGCCTCCATTAATTCACTCCCCGATTCAATGCCGATGCCTCCCGACGGAGAGGCATCACGTGATTAGCGTAAAGGAGAGGACAAAAATTTACCGTGATAAATCCCGAAACGTCCGATCACTTCGACAACGTCAGCGTCCATCGCGTGGAGCGGAGAGTCCTTACTGTCAGAGAGAAAGCTGTGCAGCGCATGCGAGACCCGCAACCGTTTCAGCCTCAACACCTTCTCTTGGTCGTAAAAAACGAGATAGCTCTCGATGTGTTGAGCCACTTGCTAGATGGAGCATCAAAGCTCGATCAGGTAGAAAGGTTCCATTGTCTGTCCGCGCTGTTGACGATCAGCAACCCGCAGCAAGAGGTCACCGAGGTCACTCTATCACGGACATTGCCGAGGCATCAGCAAGTCGGAGTTTCGGAGGGTGTTCTTGTTTCATGGAGCTCACTTTCGGGATCTCCATTCCTGCCTATAACCGTTGATCATGTATGCATCATATCAAGGCTAGCCGTCTGGAATCAAGATTTCACCCGAGCCGCGGATCGCGGATTGGCTCAGTCATCCTGTCTCCGAGGGGACCGAACGGAAAACGGATATATATGCAGAATTCTACATTCATCAGAACGATGAGTCATTACGTCATCAAGTTCTTCGGTTTCATTACATTTACGGGAGATCTTAACGAAAAACTTCGATTGGGAGAGGCACACGGTTCGATGGAGATCGTTGCCGCAATAATCAAGCTCGGCTCGGAAGAATACGACGTGACGTCAAGAAAGGATTCATCTTATTCAGTGCCAGAGCTGAGCGTATCTATTACTCTTGATGATGCCCGTGTCACTCCAGTGCTACTTTCCACGATAAGGCATCCGGGCAGTTCCCGAGAAGGGGCGGTCAGTGCTTCGAGCGACGGGGGATGGGTACCTGAGTCCTCCTTTCTGTTAGAGGGGAGATCGATCGCCCGGACGACCGCTCGGCCTTTCCTCCCCCTTTGGGCGAAGATTCAATTCTGCCGTGATACGCGCAATATCTATCCGCGGAGCTTCTGTCGCCGAGAGGCGGCATCGAAGCAGATTTAGCAGGAGAACGATGTTGGACTGCGACAGTTCCGAGCCACTCCAAAGAGTCGACGCGCGTTCTCCAGCTGCACATAATACTTACGGTTGAATCTCGTGACACTGTCTAACTGTGATTGGAGGCGGTGTCCTCGCCCTAATCATCCGAGAGCCCATCGAAGACTATCGATCCGGAGCACGCTCTCGCGATGAGGATGCTTTGCATCAAGGAAGACTTCAATGCGCCCCGCCAACGAGATCCTATCCGGAGGTCATCGTTGTCGTGAACCCTTCGGTCTGTGCAGTTCACGATCGTGCTCGTATCGAGACCGTGTTACTAATCAGGAGCTCCGCATGCCACAGAACGGGACGTTCGGCGGGTAGGTACGGAGCTTCCTCATTCAAGGCGAAATGAGGAGAGCAACCGATTGTCCTGCAGCGCGAACGATTATGGTGGAGTACAGCAGCGTACAAGGCTGCCTTCCATCCTCCGCGGATCTTCGGAAACATGGAGACGAAGACTTTCAGATCGCGACTGAGTCGTTCAACAAGTCCACTCGATTGCGAGTTGAACGGGCTCCCGACCTGGAGTTCGATCCCTCGCTGAGCAGCCCAATTTCTCAACGCATGACTATGGAAAACTTTCGCGTGATCCGAAACAACTACTCTGACATTTTCAAAAAGTCGTTGGTTCAATAAGGAGATGACCGCATGTGCATCTTCCTTCCTAGCCTTTGCTGCGGCAAAGCGGGTGTTGCGATCGATTGCCACAACGAAAGCTCGGGTTTCCGGGTTTCGATAGCTGGCTTCCGTCAGCTCTGCGAAGTCCACGTGAATGGTGTGCATGGGAGGTAAGTCGTTCGGTCTCGAACAGAGTTGGTCCTTTCTCCTTTCAAATTTTGCTTTGTTCTTCTGACATAGCGAGCAAGACCCCACGCACTCTTTTACATCGGCGCCCATTGTCGGCCAGCGGAACCTCTTGGAAATTTTCATGTGGGTTCTCCAGAATCCGTCGTGTCCACCGGAGTCTGGCGAATCGTGGTATTCTTCTAAAACCTTCTGCCTATCTTCAAGAGTGACGATTATTTTCCCGTCCGTGTCGACAGCCGTCAATGCGAGTACCGCTTCCGATTCCTGCGGTAGGCGAGATAGGTTGTCTGCATGTCCTATGCTCTTTCCCGGTTTGTGGACGCAATCGAAATCTAATTCAGTGAGTCTATGTATCCATCGGGCTGTTCTATCTTTCGGCTCCTTTACGGTGATCAACTCCTTCAGTGCGCTGTGATCCGTGTGAAGGGAAAACTTTCGGCCGTCCAGATAGGTTTTGAAGTACTCGACCGCCTGCAGTACGGCGAGCATTTCTTTCTCGTACGTCGTGTAGTTCCTCTCTGCTTCCGTGAGTTTGTATGAGTGTTAACCCACGACGTATTCTTTCCCTTCTTGATCATTCTGCGTTAAAACCGCTCCTGTGCCAAGGTCTGAGGCGTCCGTGGTCAACATGAAAGGTTTTGAGAAATCAAGAAGTACGAGAATTGGATTTTGGGTTATTCTCGCTTTCAGCGTATCGAAAGCCTCCTGGTGTAGTTCTGACCACTGGAACTCAGAATCCTTCAGCGTTAGTTTCGTCAGAGGTCTAGCAATTTCCGAGAAGTCTTTGATGAATGAACGAAAGTGACCACGTAGTCCGAGGAATCTCTGAACTTGTTTTACGTTCACTGGTTCTTTTATCGTCCTCACTTTCTCGACTGATTCTTCTTTGGTCGATTTCGTCTTCCCGTCTATATTTCGGCCGAGAAATACGACCTGCGATTCGAACAAGTTCGACTCTTTAAGGTAGATTTTTAGTTCGGCTTTGTTCAGGCTTGTGAACACTTTCCGAAGGTGTCTCTCGTGTTCTTCGCGACTTTTCGAAAATATGATTATATCGTCGATGTACCAGCGGCAACAGCTGTGGTGTTCATGTAGGACTTGGTCCATCATTTTTTGGAAAAATTTCGGCGAGTTTTTCCACCCGAAGGGATCGACGTTATATTCAAAGGTTCCGGACGGGGTGACGAATGCGGAATATTTCCCTGTCTCTTCCACTAGGGGTTGTTGCCAGAAACCTTTCAGCAAGTCCACTCATGGAGAAGATTTTGCATCCACCTGTTTCGGCGATGATGTCGTCGATATTTGGTAGAGGCCAATTGATAAGGTCCGTCTGTTCATTGACGAATCGGTAATCTGTGCAGAGTGCAGAGTCTCCACGAGCCGTTTGGTTTTGCGACCATAATGATCGGACTTCCGAATGGTGAAGAAGACTCACGGATGATGTTGTTCTTCTTCATGTTTTCCAACTCCTTCCTTGCGCATTCTTGTTTTTCTCTAGACATCTTGTATGGCTTTCGACACACTGGGGTATTATTCTTGAGTAGGAACGGCGCTTCGGAGAATTTTACCGGTGGTGGGTATTCGGATTCGCACACTACTTTAGGGAAAGCTTTCTCTAAATCATGCACTGATCGGATTGTGAACGTGTTCACTTGTTCTCCTGGTGTAGATTGCGTTTTTTCGAAAGTCAAGGTTTCGTCGAAATGTAGGTTCAATTCTATTGCCTTCATGAGTGGCCGTGAGACGAGGAAATCGTATGAGCAATCCTTCAGGACTAAACAATCGACTTGTTTCTTGATTGGACCTAGTTCGAGTATTACTTTCGTCCATAGATTCAGTGAGCAAGATTTGTTCCTCCAGTCGAAAACTGTTTTGTTTTTCCCCACGAAGATCCTTTCGTCATTGGTAATTTTTTTGTTGACGAGAGAGGCGGACGCACCACTGTCCAGGATAACCTTAATGGGTTTTCCGTCCAGTCTAGCGTCTGTCTTCGAAATCTTGTCAGAGCAAAATAGAACTGTCTTCTTGAGCGACTCCGGGGTGAGAACAGGACTACCCCTCTTTATTAGTTTAAATGATCTTCTTCGCTTCCGTCTCCGTAGTCTTGGAGCATTGAAGATTGTCTTGATTGTCTCTGGAAGGTCTTCTTTTTCGACGAATGATCGTTGGTTGGATTGCGACCGCTGCGCTGGTATGACTGTCGTGATCTCTCCGTTGGAAGTAGCCTTTTCGTTCTGCGGTCTCATTTGGGAATTCGTTTCCTTTTGCTCCTTGATTGAATTTTCTTTCCATGTGCCATGATTGGCGTTGATTTAATTCGTCTTGCATGAACTTGAAGAGGCTATTCAAGATGAGTTCATCTGGATCGTTGACGTCTTTCTCTCTGTAGAATTTTACTCTAAGCGGGAGTGGGAGAGATTCACTCAAACCAATGATTGAAAGTGACTGGTATGAGGCGGCCTCTATTCCGGAAGCTTTGAGAGCATTGACGTGTCCCCAGGCCGTTTGATATAGTATCTCGAGGCGTCGAAAATCGGCCGAGACGTAACTTTGAAATTCTTGCTCAAATCTCGGAGAGCTTTGCGATGTGAAGTTTTCGTGTCACTCGTGGCTTGATAACGATCATTCAGATTTTCCCATGCTAGCTTGAATGCTTCTTCTAGACCGGCATAGTTGAGAACAATTTTGTAGGCGAATGAATTTTTCTTTCATTGCGGTTTGGAGGTGAACGAATATTTGTGTTCTTTCCGTCGAACTCCTGTATGTTCGTCTTCTTCGGTTTTTCTGTTCTCGGTTGTATATTCATGTTATCTCCACCGGCGTCGATTTCTTCTGTTGCCTGGGATGCTAGGTGTATCGGGATCGACTTCATTTTAGAGTATGCTCGTTCGGTATGGCATTGTAGAGTTTTTCCGATGTGACAATTATGGCGTGGTCTAGTTCTTCTTGAACTATGAAGTCTGTGGCCAAATCAATCGACTCTTGTGCATCGTTTTTTCTGAGATTGGCGAGTTCTGTTCGGTGTTGCACCAACTTGATGTAGGATGCTGCGCATTCTGCGCTTTTCTCGAAGAATCCTTCTTCTTTGGTATGCTCAATTATTTCGAGACAAAACTTACTGAGGATATCCTGACGCATGACAGCCTTATTCGGATTCGCGGACTTGCGAGTTATGGGAGGCATCAGGATCCTGTCGGCTGCGCCAGTAGCAGTCTGTGTATGATGAGCCTGTTATGAAGTGGAGCCTTTTTATCTCCCTCTTATAGATATCCACTAAGCCCTACATCTTTTACGAATAATTTGCCCATCGCTGAGCACACAAGGATTTCTGTCGAGCAAAGACGAGTGAAGATCGGTGGGGATCCCGGATTCTCCGGTATTCTGAAACCCTGTACGAAATCAGATGGATCCGACCCGACCCGGCGTGAGTGCAGTATTCTGTATAGATGGTGATACCAGACACTCCTCGTCGCTGGGAGCTCACCATAAGAAATACGCTCTCAGAGATTCATAATTCATTCATTGTCAAGTTGCATTACTTTTCAAATCGAATTCCAAACGGACATCAGCTCTAGTCGGGTTCTTCTCAAACAACTGATCGTAGCTGTTCTGCTTCTTGAGTGCATTCGGGGCTCGACTCTTGCGCGCCCGAGTCTCCGCGAGGAGCTTTTCGGCATCTTCAATGGTATCAGGCAGGGGCTCGTTCAGCTCTCCCGGCAGCAAGCGGATCAAGAGCACATCGAGAGTCAAGCAGATGACGAACAAATAAAACGGCAGGCTCTTCAAGGTGGCATCATTCTTGATGAAAGGAGCGAATCCTGCCCCAACGCGGGAGCTCATCATCGCGAGAGCAAATCCGGCTCCTCTTGCAGGAGTCGGGAACACTTCATGGACCTGATCCCATTGCAGGAGGAAGAACATATTCAGGAAACTTCGTGCTACCATACTCCCCCAGACCTTCATAAACTGATTGCTGTCACTGACAGAGAACACAATTGCGAACAGAGCGGCGGCCAGAACCGTACATCCAGATTGAGAGAGTTTTCGACGGCACTTCCGCATGAGGATCATCCCAAATAGCGACGCGGGGAATTCGGCAAAAGCGGAAATCGCGAAATTCACATGGGGGTTCCCAGGCGGTCGATGTGCGTTCAGTGCTGAATAGTGTGACTTGAGGGAATTCGTGCACCACATGACAGCGAGGAGCGCCGCGGTCCGCCTCAATATCGGTACTCTGAGGGAATCGACAAAACCCAGGTCTTTACTTCTTAGCGCTCTCACTCTCAGCAAGTCTTGCCAATCTTTTTCTCTATATATAAAAATCTCCGCAGGGTTTCTGTTTCTATGTTACCTATGCTCGCCCAAACTGCTGAACGGATTCTCATTAAACTTGACAACATTAGCCATACCAATTGCGGGATGGTTTGTATACGGTCAAAACCCTTTTTCTGATTCCCCAAACCCCCCAAGTTTGCCTCTTTCCTCAGTCGACTAAACATCGTCGTCTTTTTTTGCGTTTCTCGAGCGGTACAATCCGCTCGGTGAGGGGTAGCGAGCAACCTCATACGACCGAACGGGTCGTCACGGGAGTTCGATCGCTCTCTTCGTTTCATCGTCCCCGGGAAGTCTTGAGGGTCGAAATCAAGATCGGGGACATCGGGGGCCAACTCCATACGGTCAAAACGAGAGTCTCATCGCTCTCGCGGTCATCGTGCCCGTCCAGGCTTGAGAGTCAGGGAATCGAGAACGGGTGCCGTCCACGCGCTTGCTCTTTCTTCGATTTCCATCGAAGATATTGAGCATCGAGAATTGAGGCCAAGGATGCACCGCGTTTTGTCTCTTGAAACTTGAAACCCGCTCAGCTGAGACTGCGGAGCAGCAGACTTTAAGCCTGGCATACAGAGACAGAGTGATGCGCGATGAGGGCGAATGGCTCACGGACAATCGAATCGCTCTGCGTTGCGTTCGATTTTGATTCCATGCACCTTTTTTCATATTGTCGACACTCTGTTGTCGATGTCGGTGATATGAGCATCATATGTTCATCCTGTCGTGAGTTGTAAATCGAAAATGAATCCTGGGGAGCATGCGGCGCAGGTTAGAAATCGTGATGATTCTGTGTGGGAAATTTGAGGGCGGAATTCCCGATCATACCGACCGACAAAGTTCGGGTTCAAACGGCTGCGGTTTGCCGTGCTTCCCGTGCGTGTCAATAAGGCACAAGGTCAATCACTGCAGGCATGCGGCCTGATCTTCGAGAATCCATGCTTATATCGCACGGATGACTATTCGTAGAATGTTCACGTGTCGGTGAATCATCGAATTCGTTTGTTGTTTACGCACCGGATAGTGAGACAAAAGACTCCGTTTATCTTCGAATGATCTGTTGAAGATTTATATGAGCATCATCTGTTTATGGTTGGAAATAAATCATCGGGGTACATGATGTGAAGGGGGGTGAGTGTGATGTGTAATGTTTCGGTATGGGATTCTGATGATGTCCGAAGTTCGGACTTCAGAACAATGCTTTCGGCATAAACCGGATGGTGAGACCAAAGGTGGGTGTGTGGTGCCCGTTAGGCTCGAGAGTCAGGGAATCGGGAACGGGGGCCAAATTCTTACCGTTGAAACGGGAGTCTTATCGCTCTCGCGGTTATCGTGCCCGTTCAGGTATAAACCGGATGGTGAGACCAAAGGTGTGTGGTGCTCGTTAGGCTCGAGAGTCAGGGAATCAAGATCGGATTGATATGAGCATCATATATGTTCATGTTTGGAGATGAATCCTCGAGGCATATGATGCGCAGGTGGGTGAAACTGATTTGTCGATGTCAGATTCTGATAATGCGTGAACTTCGGACAAAGTAGCAGAAAACGAGCTAACGAAAGCACCGCAAATATCATGGCTGGAGTTGCGATATGAGAGGACATTTCTTTCCCGAAAATAGGACAATGTCCGCGCGGACATCGGGTCGGCATGCGGCCATCAAAAGCGGTCACTCTATTCCATGTTTTTTGCCCTTTCCATGGAATTGATTCGACTCTCCAACCATTTTCCAAATAAGCAACAATCGACTCAACTTCGATGCCCTAACGATCGCTCAGAGACAATTCGCTGAGTGAGAAGAAAATTTCCGACCCGCCCCCGACGCCTCTGGCTCACGCTTGTGCAGCCGAGACCTCGGTGCCCTCGGCGAGAAAATAGCGCAGAAATTCAATTTTTATCATCGAATTCAGCGGTATTTCCTCGAAAATTCCGGAAAGCGGACATTCCCGAGAAACCCCCAAAAAAGCGGTCAAAGCGGACAAAAGAGGACGTGTCCTCTCATATCGCAACTCTAATCATGGCACATGTCCGCGAAGGAAACGAGCATCGGAGATCGACCGAGACCTTACCGTAAATCTCCTAATAGTGACCCGGTTATCCATATTTTCAAATGCTACCGGTTGGGGCTTCTATTGGAGAGTGGCTCACAATATTTCAAGGAAAATTTCGCGTCGGAAAAAGAGATCAGTGATTATGGAAGTCTGGGGGAATGTGTGTTCTCGATATAGAGCTTAGCAATCAATGCACGTTAGCGACCGTCCCGGAAGGACTCCTTCAGGCGAAGATACTTGGGCGCCGATGTTCCGTCGTCGGGCACGTCAGCTTCGCCTCTTAGCCGACTTTGAAATCCGGGAGCTTCTTCGGGAGGTAGGCTTTTGTTTTCCCAGGAGCTCTGGCAAGGTGGCTTCTATTGGAAAGCTTCTACTATGGAAGAGGGCTGCTCTCGGGAAATTCACGGTCAGATGCTTTGAGCCGCAGCGGAGCGCGGCAGGGTACGCTAGTCGAAGCATAACGGAGTCCATGTTCGGCATCGGTCGCTTGTTCATGTCGATAATTCGAGCAAGACTGTCTCAGCGGAACTTCCGTCGCCTACGTAGTGCTTGTGAATCAGGCCTCGCGTTTCGAGCGATCTCTGGAAGAGCTCGACGGAACCCCTCGACTCCATCGAACCACTTGAGCCTTCGTGATTGATCTGGCATTCCGGAGAATGCTCTTCCATCAAATCGTCGAATTCTGCGCTCTCCTGATCTGATCTCCACCGAGGACAGATCGAGAAATGGAGACTCTTGACAGTGACATCCAAGACTTTGTTGCTTCTCTCGCCCACCACGGCCACTGGGCCGAATAAGGACGGGAACCCTCTTCTGGCCCACGCGCCATCGACTGAAACAGCAACGGCTCGCGGATCCTGGAATGCTCTCGCCTCCGTTGTCCTCTCTAATTCCTCCCGGGACGCTTTCTCCATGCAAATTTCGGCCACATTCGCGGCTGCTCTCCCTATATTACTACAAGCGCCGTCGTAGTTTTCCTGATGGAATGGACGGAGCTCGATGAGGGTACAAAACATGTTCAAGCCTGAATAACCTACCCCGATTTGCCTCATCGCGAAAACGATCCGACTATTCACTGGGTAGGCATTTCGGACGTGAGGTCCAGAGTTGATCAGCTCGGGTTCACAATTCCTGCACCTGACCTCTAATTTGAATCCCAATCCTCTACGCTTCACTTGTCCGAACGAAACATCTTCTCCGCAGAGCTTGCATTTGACAGGACGCGAGAGTTCACCAAATACAGAGGAAAACTCCACGAAAACGTATCCGAAATCCGGTTCAGCGACTGGTTCGAGGCGTAACTTATCTTTTAGCTTTTCTCGGGACGTCGATGCAGTCTGAGAATCCGTTTTCAGGGTGCTCGGCGTCGTGTATCGGTCGCCGCGGAATTTCCTCTTCAACGGTTGTCTGCGACGATGATTTTCGCGAATTCCCTTTTGCGCGAATCTCCTCAAAGGCATGTTGACGTGGGAATGTGGAAGACCACTTCCAGGAACCTTCCCAAATGTTGTCCAAGTACGAGGCGCGGATCGATGGCGCCGCGACGACGACATACCGCAAAGCTTCCAGCAAAGTTTCCGCTCACATAACGGCCGTATCCCCCGCGATGGGGGTAGCCCGACGAAGGCGCTCCCTAGGAGCTCCGTTCTTCCTCACAAGCTCAGGAAATTTGAATTGAAGAGCCACGTTGATGCGGGGAAACATCAATTCTGGCGTGGAAAGGCCTTCAATCAAGTCCACTGGAGAAAAACTGCCTGGAACGGCTGGATGATACTCTAAACTCGAATTCGCGGCCGAATATCGAAATGGATGTTCGTTGACACATCCTCGACGAGCAGAGGAACATTTCAAGCAATTCATTCCAGAACCGATTGCCACACTGGTGAGCCCCCTCAAGGCAAGAGCCGCGTCGGATCTGAAGCCGTAATTTCGGTGGCGGGTCGCTCATGATTTGGGCCGTCATACATATCCTACGAGGGCAAATCTGATATCGCGTTCTTATCTGGACGTCAGACATCGGAAGACTATCGCAGGACTCTCGAGACATTTCTCCTGCCATTCGCAGAGCGATATCATCAAAACATCTTCATCTTCATGCAAGACAACGCCGCAATCCACAAATCTGCCCCCATGAAACAGTGATTTGAGGATCAGCAAATGCCCCTGCTCGACCATCCGGCTCTCAGTCCCGATCTCAATCCGATTGAGAACTGCAGGGGTATACTCGCCAGATCAGTCTACGCAAACGGAAAGCAATACAACACGACCGAAGAGCTCGAAGAATCCATAAAAGAATGCTGGCGTCAAATCGAGCTCCATACAGTTCAGAAACTTATCGACTCAATGCCTATCCGTTGGAGGGATGTTCTCCTGAACAAGGGAGGAATCACCAAATACTGAGACCAATGAGTTCGGGCACTTTCCTAATTATACTGTCGTTCACCTAGCGAATATCGTAGGCGGCTTTATCCGTACGTCCGGCATTAAAATCGATATTCTTCCAAAATTCTACTCAATTCGATTCCCACTGATTTTACGCTCTCAGGACGAGGGAACAACCCGGGGACCTATAGTTCTAAGTAAGAGGATTCCACAGCCCGCCGTCACACTCCCGTCGGGAAATTCGCAAAAAGTGTGGTGCCAGGAACTCCTCGTCGCTAGGAGTTCACCATGAGAAATACGCTCCCAGAGATTCATAATTCATTTTTTGTCAAGTTGCATCACTCTTCAAATCGGATTCCAGTCGGACATCAGCTCGAGTTGGGGTCTTCTCAAACAATCGATCGTCGCTGATCTGCTTCTTGAGTGCATTCGGGGCTTGACTCTTCCGCGCCCGAGTCTTCGCGAGGAGCTCTTCGGCATCCTCAATGGTATCAGGCAGGGGCTCGTTCAGCGTCTCCGGCAGCAAGCGGATCAAGAGCACATCGAGAGTCGAACAGATGACGAACAAATAAAACGGCAGGCTCTTGAAGGTGGCATCTGCGAGGTTCTTGATGAAAGGAGCGAATCCTGCCCCAACGCGGGAGCTCATCATCGCGAGAGCAAATCCGGCTCCTCTGGCAGGAGTCGGGAACACTTCATGGACCTGAACCCATTGCAGGAGGATGAACATATTCAGGAAACTTCGTGCTACCATACTCCCCCAGACCTTCATGAACTGATTGCTGTCACTGACAGAGAACACAATCGCGAACAGAGCGGCGGCGAGAACCGTACATCCAGATTGAGAGAGTCTTCGACGGCATTTCCGTATGAGGATCATCCCGAAGAGCGACGCGGGGAATTCGGCAAAAGCGGAAATCGCGAAATTCACATGGGGGTTCCCGGGCAGTCGATGGGAATTCACTGCGAGGTAATAAGTCCGCAACGAGTTCATGAACCATAACGCTCCCAGAAGCAGCGACGTACGTCTCAAAATCGGAACCTTCATCATGTCTATGAAGCCGAGTTTCTTACTCTTCTGTGCGCTTTCAGTTTCCGCCAGACGAGCGAGTTTTGGCATGATAGTCTTCATGTCGGGCATCGGTCGATTATTCATGTTGATGATCCGAGTGATAGATCTTTCGGCTTCGTTGACTCGGTGTTTCGCGAGGAGCCATTTCGGTGACTCACAGAGCACCGGGACGAAAGGAACCAGAAGGAAACCCGAGAAACCGATCGCCAGCTGCATGTGACGGAAATCCGAGAAGTAGTAGGAGAGCAGAGGAATGAACATCACGGGGACGGCAAATCCCATTCCGAAGCCGACGTTCATGAAAATGCGATCCTTGCCTGGCATAACTTCCATGAATAAGGTGACCGCCGCGGCAGTAACTCCTGCGGTCGCGGTAGACAGGAAGAAACGGAGGGCGTTGAACGCGAGGAAGTCGTTGACGAAGGCCGCCGAAATTCCGGTGACCATCATCACTATTAAACTGGTGTTGAAGGCGGTCTTCCTGCCGTAGTCATCCGAGAGCCTACCGAAGACTATCAATCCGAACCACGCCCCCGCCATGATGATGCTCTGCATCAAGGAACGCTTCCATGCGTCTCCGCACACAAGGTCCCACTCGGAAGTCGCAGTTTCTCCGAACTCGCCCTTGTCGTAAGCCCATCCGTTGGTGCAGTTCGTGATCGTGCTCGTATCGAGTCCGTTCTCCGACGTCCATCGGAACATCGAGCACTCCTCGAGCTCGCCAAACTGTCCGCGGGGGATCCCGTTCTCTCTCCACCAAGAATCGTTGATCGATGCGTCAGGGGGAGCGCACCAGTGGGCGACGTCGGCCGCCATCAGGGGGGTCATCATATTCGTCCAGGCGACCGGGAAAGCCCGAATACATCCCAGGAGTAGCAGAACTCCTGTGGAAGAAAATTATCCGACTTAGAAGTCTTCGAATACCTTGTAGTCCCGATCCTTGAATCGTTAACATATATAGATTGTGAATACTGAGCTAAAGGAACACCTGTCGGGAATTGCCCCCGTCACAGGACGAGACGCCCGGCCAAAGTCTCTGGAAGCAGGGAACAAGCATTCAAGTACCGTGGTAGATTCCGAAACGTCCGATCACTTCCACAACGTCAATAGCCATAGCACTAGGTGATTAGTGACATGAAAGTCAGTCTGGGAGACGAAAGAATGGAATGAGAAACGATCAGCTTCCCTCGTAAACGCAGAAGCCTCACCACCTCCGCTTCACTCTTGGTGGAGGAAAAAACTGATAACACACGTGGCGATCAGTTGCGGCGACTCACCCGATTGCCAACGGCAAGCATCTCGAGCTACTGTCTCAATGACGTTTGCTTGACCGTATCAGATAATCTTGGACAATAAATCCAGAATGCGATGGGAGCCTCGTTACTCTAAGCTGCATCCGGTTCGACCTTCGAATTCTTGCTCTCGGAGTCACACAGGATCCAGACCGATTATTCCTTGACCCTCGACCCTCGTTATGCATCAGCTTCCCGAGTCCGCACAGAAAGAGTTTTGCGACCCTCTCCTGCTTGGGAAATTTCCAAAAGATGCAAACATTCTGGAGAACGGCGACGCCGACGCGTCAGAGGGGAGCGTCGTAGGAGAAAAAAAGTACCGAGCTCGCATTGTGGCTTCACTCATTGTGTTCTCCCGGAGTACTGGCTCTCCGGACCCCTCGACTTCCCGACCCCTCAACATTACCGTTGGATGCTCCTCCGTTTTCCACTCGAGGATCATGGGTTGTCACCGGGATGCATTGCACTATCGGCGTTGAAGCACCTGGATGAATCTTCTCTGAGTGACACGAGAGCGGAAGCCATCTGGAACGACCGAGAGTCTGAGAATCCGCTGTTTAGGTACAGTCAAGTGCCGCTAACTTGTAAAATTCGGGAGTAGGGTTTGAATATTTTTTCTAACTTATAAGTTAGGGGAGGGTCTATCTAGACCGGATTAATTCGGACAGATGCGCGCTGATTATTATCTGCCCCCATGAATGCAGGCATAAAATTGACGATAGTGATCATGAACGGATATCTGCTTTAATTCATTCCATCTTCTCGATGCGGATTTACGTTTTTAACTTAAGGAGAGTCCTGACTATGTACCGTACTCAGTCTCTACTATCTACCGTTCCGAACAGAGTCAGTCCCCATCAATACGATTCTCGTCTTCAAAATACAACCAAACAACTAGGGCTTCGATTTCGAAAAATAATATCGAAGATCTGCCTGTCTTTTTTCCTGTAGAATGTCACAAATAACAAGATCTCGATACTGATGTAGAGCCATGCTGATCCCTGGAACAATATTTTGTCTCTGAGAGCAATGGTTGACCAATGTAGCCAAGGCTCAGAGAGCCTCTTGGCCGGTCACGAAACCACAACTGGGCTCCTCGAAGGGGGACTCGGGTTCTTCATCCGAGGTTTCGCTGAAGACCTCATTGTGTTCAGGCTCGAAATCATCGGAAGTCACAAGTTGCCGATCAGCCTAAACGAAGTCCCCGAAAGTCATGGAAATGGGGAAACAGTCTCGGATA